TTTTATTTGGTTTTTCGTTTATTCAATGCCAAATAAAGTGTTTCGAAACAAGTTGATTGATCTTAATGTGCTTAAACAAAAGTTCTGTGCAAATGTGCAAATGTGGGATGAATCGTTATGAGCTCAACCACTACCACACTACCATTGTCATCATCATTATCACGGCATCATGTGTGGGCAGAAACCATTGATTTTTTTTTTGTACCGTACATTAAAAGCAGGTCAGCGATGCTTTGAAAATTCTATTTTATAGGCGCCAATTTCGATTGGTATTTTCTTTTTCACAAAAAGTAAAATAAAAAGCAATCCATTGACCGTTTCTTTGTCCTTTGTGTACCCAAAGATCAAAGTAAAGAAAAAGTTAAATTCTTCGCATGGCTCATTTCAAATTAAGGGACCATTTTTTTCACCATCCACGTCTAGGCTGCATACTGTCTTTTTCTTTGCGCAATTAACATTCATATGTTATTACATGGTACCATCTGTGCATAACCATTTGATAAGTGGATTCCAAAATTGAATGGCTTAAATTATATTGCTTTACAGTTGCAGCTACATTTCAAGAACAATTCAATAATGTCATAAACGAGAAAAGCGCAAAGAAAAAAACGCCCAGACGTATAGCATAACAGAGGATTGAGGATTTGTTAATGCATTTTTTAATGGTTTAAATAAATATTAATTGGCTTGGCACATTCGATGTTATTCGATTTGATTCTTCGATCGAAACCAAACTAAATCGATTAAGTGCTGTGCATATTGCTTACTCATACAATGGCACAAATTGTGCAGCATGCATAACACTCTTAGAACTAGTACAATTTATGTTTAATTTCTATATGAATCGGCATGAAGTCAAACAAGCCACATTTCCAGTCGTCGGAATTTATTTCCAGACATTATATTCAGATATTTTCAGCCAGCTTGTGGAACAACCGTTATAAAAATCACTCCTATTATTTTCACTTGCTATTTCTACGCCTGACATCAGCTTCCTGAACTGATTCAGCTTGATGAAAATATCTCAATATAATGTCTGTTTATTTCTATATCTATAAGCGAATCTATGTTGAATAAAAAACAAGTGTCATAAACTACAATAAGTTTTAAATCACGAACATTTGATATTTGATAAATTGATGGACGCTATTTTTGAGAAATATTTAGTTATTGGCTAATCGGTAAGTGTTTTTGTGTGTACCAAATTTCAACAAATATCCGTTTAAATCTCGAAAAGCGAGAGATATATAAAGAGAAGCGCGCGCACGAGAGAGAGAGACAGACACAGAGAGAGAGAATTGAGTTTGCACATCAAACTAAACAAAAGAGTCAAATTTAAAATGAAACAGGAATTGAGTGACGATATGACAAGGAACTAGCTTATCTAACATTTCACACCAAATATTTGCTTTTGAATTAAAACCAAAAAAAGGTGATCAAATGGCAAAAAGATGCATATCCAATGAATATTAATTTAAAATCAAATCTGAAAGTAAGCCGTGAATTCAATTTGTCTGGCTAATAATTCAAAATTTGCTAACGATAACCATTTTTTATGGCATATAAACCGCCTAAATTGATCTATAGGAATTTAACCTTTTGTTTTCAGTTTCGAGTGTAATCAGTGAACAAAGCAGAGAGCAGCGTTATCGAAAGATAAATTGTATTTCAATTTTGATGACAAAAAAAGCAACAAAAAAAATGTTCTCATTATGCATGAATCCCTGAAACACCAACACAAACAGCCATGTGTGCGCGCAATCCAAGCTACTGGGATCATACCATTAACTTTTGCATATATGAATCTGATTATTTTACTATAATAATTCACGAGTGTCAAGTGATGAGAAAAATCACAATTTAAGCCGGGTCAACGCCATTATAGCGAATGCCAAACATTCCAGCAAAGCCAAATAAACGACAAGCTACCTCTGGCATAAAAAAAGCAATTATGATTTATGGTTTGAAAGCATTTATCAATAATTTGGTAATTTGGTAATAACCATTCTTACTTTCTTCGTTTTTTGCACCACATTACAAAAAAAAATGTAAATCGTCAATTTTAAGGCTCAGATTATTATGATTTTAACGAAGAGAAAAAAATCGTGAAAAAAACGTCAAGTACCTGATATTCACAACGAATTGTTTATGTTAATGTGGTGTGTATGTGTGATGATGTGCACGATTGGTCGATATCAACTTTCAACAAAATAGGTCGTTGATAAAGCTTAATTAAAATGTATTGTATTTGCTATTATGTTCACAGCAGGATCTTGATAGCAGACAATTTACAATTTTTCTTTAATATTGTGTGTTGTCTAATGAAGTTCAATTTTTTGGGGTATAACAAGTAAAATTAGACGATAAAACAACAATGAAATTTGAGCTCATCCATTCTTCTTCTATTTTTGCTTCTCGGCCAAAATCGAGGCGGGAAAAAAGAAGTTAAAGCACACGCAAAGTTTTTAATAAGTTCTCATGATCATGAAAACTGTTTGTGCTGAAGCATGGAAGTGACTGCAAAATTTTACTCGAAAAACTGAAGAGAAGTGAAGCAAAAATAACTGAACTGAATTAATCAACAATAAAGGAACAAAAAAATTGGAAAATATAATGAAAAAGAATCCTTTTTTTTATTTTATTTTATGTTATCTTTCGTTCAACTGTTTTGATTTCAGATTTTTTTCCTTTCGTTCATTCGTCAAATTTTAGAGCATAGTCCAGATTTCGGGCTACAATCAACATATCGACAAACATACACAGAGTAACGAATTTATTAAGAATTTTCTTCGCTCGACGATTTCTTTTTTCTTTTTCTGCTACGTGTATTTGATAGAGAATGACGGAGATAAATGGAAAGAAAATGAACATTGGTGTAAGCATACTTGGTATGTATGATTGGTGAGAGTAAGCTTTGGCTGTATGAATATGTAATCAGTAGGTACAACGAAATATGTATAGGTCTCACTGTTTGTGTGTGTGTGTGTTTGAAAGCTGACTGAAAAGCAAAGCTCGAATTCAGTTGGGTAATTTTCATCTGATTTTTATATTGTGCATAATGGCAATGACGATACCATGTATTATGAATATGAATTCAAAACATAAAATATGTTTGTGCGTATATCTTTTTTTATATTTTTTTATGTTGAAACACATATACACCGTATGGGGTATATTTGCGTTTGATGTTACAGATGGTAGCTTCGTTGATGTTATTATTCTGCCGCCCCGTATAGAGAGATTGAATGTGCGTATTGTCATATTATATTGATGGGGAAATATATTCTTGGCTTATGCATTCCCTGCTAAATACTTCATCTTTATCTATATTCACCATGGTGTGTGCTTATGTATATACGTGCCCAAGTGGCACAACTGAAACACTGAAACAACAACAAATGTGCGCTTTGAGCATCCTTTTTTTTATGGTATATTTAGATTTTTATTTTTGTTTGTTGATGCGGCCAAATGTGTGGAAAAATATACGATAATAACAACACTTGTGTTCATTGGGGCAGTATGGTGTCAAATTGGATTTTTTTTCTCGTATTCACCATTGATGCCATTTCCATAGAATGAGCAACGCAAGCAAGTACAAAATTACAAGCGATAAAATTATGACCATACACGCACAACGAAACGCCCGAAAGAAAATCCACCAAAAATTAGGCTACAAACAAAAGCACCAAAAATATACATTAACAAGCATTAAAAAGCATTGCGATGTACATATAATATTACAAATATATACTATACAGACACATGGATACATGGACACAAATTACAGGCCACACACTTTTGAATTCATTTTTGCTTATTTTCTAATTCGCTTGTTTCCCATCTTCTTTATTGCAAATTACAACGTATAATAGATATATTTCTATAATATCGAAAGCCATTTGGCTGAATACGAATGAAAATGTGGATATCGTACACGGAACGTGGAAGCATGGAACATTTTTATGATGTTGAGTTTAAGCTCGAGAGAAACTTGAAGCGAAAAAAACAACGGAGAATAACCAACGGCGGAAATGAAATTCACTTCCGATATTTTGTGCAATTTAATCGATGCATTGAAAGCTTCTTTCACACACTTATTTCTCTCTCCTTTTTTTTTGATCAAATACAAGATTGGATAATGAATAACGAGAATCTATAAAAAAATCATTTAAAAAGTCAATAAAAAATAAGTGTTTCATTTTATTTAACACGTACCGAAATTATGCTCAAAGTGTCACACAGCTAGCGCCACGACGGAATTCAATGTAATCTATACTAAGTTGCCGCCAACTAGTGAAAAGACTTTTGCTCAGTTACAAACAACTGACTAGAACTCCATAGTTGTCCGTAGTGGCGCTAGCTGTGCTATAGTTTTGCATTTTATACAGTCTCTTATGGAACATAATTGCAGTGTGATTTAACATTTCAACAGTGAAAACAATGAGCTCATCATGTCGGTCTTGTATTTGAGTTGAGTTCAATGGATGATGATAACTACTTTTTATACTCAAAGAACTATGCATCTTCAAAGTAGATGGCGAATTAATAAATGAAAAGCTGAAATAATTTCGATGCGGCTCTTATAATATCAAAATTGACCGACTTTTGCTGGTCGGTAAAAAGGCGATTTTTATCGCTACATTGATATGATGCAGATGAAAGGTTTTTTTACTACCCATTTCTTTTTCAAAAGTAAATAATACATGATATACACTTCATTTAATGTGAAATCTCTTATAAATGTTTTTCGATGAATGAGCAAAAAAATCCGACATCGTCGACGCTAACATCGATGTCGTCGTCATGGTCGTCGTCGTCATCATGGTCGTCGTCTATGTATAAGCAATATTCTTTATTTGGATAGCATCCATCCTTTCATTGGAGTATCGTTAAACTCTTCATTCTGTACTTTTATGTTTATCCCCGATTCTTTTAAACAATCCGTTTTCAAGTGCATTTGAAGTGTCTTGAGTATTTAATATAAATCAAATACTACTCACCTTTTAATGTTAAGCATCTGCTGGAGGATATTCCATTTCATCGCATTATGGTTGCTATCTGACATTTTTCCCTTGAGTTTCTTTCACACTTGACTGAATTGCTGCTTCTCTATTGAGTTTGTTGTTTTAAGTAATTAAATCGATTCATTTGTCTATTGTAAATATATTTCGTTTCCTTTCTCTTTCCGTTCTTCTTTTTTTTTCTATTCTTCGTTCGCTTCGTTTTACTCTTTTTCGGTAGATTATTTTTTTGTCTTCTTCGTGGCGTTATTTATTAGCGTTCCTTTTTTTATACCGTATAACCGAATGAAATACCGGATTCAATTTGATTTTATTCTTGTATTTTGTTGCTGTTATTGTAGGTTGACGTCATTTAATTCGCTTAACTCCTTAACTTTTTAAATTTATACTTGGAAAATGGAAATGAAAATAAGATGTGACAAAAGTAAGTTCGCTTGAAAGAGTTTGTATTTTATTATAATGCTCTGTGCTGTTGAGGACGTACTCTTTTTGTTTATTTCATTTCATTCTTATGTTGTTGTTGTTGTGTTTTTTTCGGCTCAGTTCAATGAGTTTTAGGTTAATTTTCAATGCGTTGATATTCTTCTGTCATTTTTCATCATACTTTTATTTTATGCTTTTGTTTACTGTTGTCGTATTATATTTATCTGCACATTGTTGTTGTTGTTGTAGTAATTTGTGTGGGCATTCACATTCGAAATGGCATTGCAAAATAAGCGGAATAACAAATGAGGAAGTTAAAAACAATATAGAATTAATTGAAGAATAAAATGTAATAATATTATAGTATTGTGTATTTTCTATATGTAACATCAATTGTGGTCATTTATTTCATTTTTCACCTTTTTTCATCACATTCCGTAAGCTGATAAAGAAATGCTTTCGAGCTCAGCTACTCTCGGATATATTAAATTTGCCCTTGGGTTCTATATTATCAATGATGGCACCGACTATTAGATTGTTCGTATTTTGTTTCGTAGTCCTACTTAAAGTGTCACCAAGAGAAGAAAAAAAAAATCTAGAGAAACATGAACACGAAAACAATCATTAGTCATCTATGCAAATTGAGTCTATTGGTCACAAAAGGGTTACATTGCTACTATATAGTAAACATTTATCTTGGTTGCATTTGTTTGTAAGTGTTTTTGTTTTGTCGAAAGTCGTTTTATTTGTGTCCGTAAGGAAGTGTGCGTGTGTCCCGTCTTTATGATGTGTATATATTTGAATTGTGTGGCTGGGCATGAACATACGGCGACACATTTTTGTAATTTGTCGTGTTCACTACGCGACACATTCTCATAAAGCATCCGTTCGTATTTTCAATTTCAAATGCTTTCTTTTCTTGTGTCGAATGTGGAAATTTTCATATAATGAAAGAAACAAGTTCAGTTAAGCGTGATTATTTCTTGCATGTAAATATGAAAGAAAAACGTGACATTTTTATCAATAAGCTCAACTGTGCAAAGTTAATCTTTCCGCATAAACGAATATGCAAAAACCGCATGTATCGTCGAGGGTATAACGCACCAACATCAAATACCCATACATACACACATTGAAATATAAATATAATATGTATAGTATACACACAGTCATTTGATTCTCTTTCTTCTCGTCAACCTACCGAGCTCTCCCTCTCCCAATCCCTTGCTTTACGCGCGTCAATTTTCCATAAGAAAGTGAGTGCGAGAAGCAAGAGAGAGAGAGACGCACATGGGGCGTCTTGCATTTGTGAAAATGGGCAGAAAAAAAGCCTGTTCACACGTCCATGTAGAGCATATACGAGGAAACTGAAAATGATGGATATAGCGAGGCATCTTGCCACGAATTAGATGAAATTCAGCATAAGCTTTGTATTCTAATTCACAACGAAATGGTCATAAAATAAAAATAAAATGAAAAGGAAAAAAGCAAAAGGGAAAAAAGCGAGAAGCAAATCACTCATCCCAAACTTTTGTGCGTATGCTATATGTGAGAGTGAATAAATGGAAATCACACGATCGTTTCTTGCGACGTACACCGTATTCGGCTGACATAAATGATGTCAATATACAATTCAGATTTCATTTAAATGCTATAGAAATTTCAAATGAAATGAGAAACGAAAAAGAAAAAAATTAAAAACACTGATTTCCAACCAAAGTCTCTTATATAAATTCCAGTGCCATATTCCTCTCATTATTGTTGGATGCCACTTTAAATGGAACTCATACAAAGAATATGTGATTGATATCATTTGCACCGAAAATGTGACTAGCAAATTGAGTTCGACTTTGAAATTGTTCGAATTTGGAAATAAATGAGGTTCAACACGGGATATATGTGGTACGGTGGGCGTAAGCCTTTGATACATTATAAGCAAACGTTTATCTGTTTTTCATGTGACATAGCTTAAAATTTTGCGTACAACCAACTTGCCGGCAATCAATTCGCATTATTGTATTCATTGTCCATTTACCATTACCATTCTTTTTTTCTATCTCTCTCTTAACTTGCAATTAATTGTCAAAAATGTTTACATAACTCCAGCGGAGCAAAACGGGGAAAAGGGAAAACTTGATTAAACTGTCGCACTATAGCAATTGGCTGCATGAACTTAGATTTATGGCTTTAATGCCAATATTAATTCGTACTGCGGCATTTCAAATGACACACCAAGAGCTTAAACGGAAAAACTATTACAATTGTTTGCGAAAATATATATATATATATCGGTTATAAATAAAATTATTCGAATTTAAATTGTAATACAAATGTAGAAATCAAAACAAGCCCACTTTATATCAATTTAGTTCTTGTTTTTCTTCGTGTTTTCTTCGCGCTTATGCTCGTTTGTAAATCAAAATATATAGCAAAAAAAAAATCATCTGTATATTTGAATTCCAAACGTACTTGCGTTCTGGTTTGGAATGGTTCAAATAGCTTGAGCCCAAACAAATTTCGGCACACGAATTGTGCGCATATATTTCGGTTGAGTTCTCATCCAGACAATTAATCGATCCCGTCGGAACAAAATATTGCAATAGATTAACATGATTTGCACGCGAATGTACTATTAAATCAGAAGAGCACATGGCCACAAACCAAAAAAAAAACACATGTTAATTTTCCATAGGGCCAACATAGTACAAATAATGACAATCAAATGGGAGGAATTTGATTGCGACCATTTGTTATGCTATGATTGAATAAAAGCAATCTGATAGATGTTCATATATTTCAGTGATTCTCATTGGGGTTTAATATAGAACAAAAACAATTGGTCGATATTCTTTTTTCGTCTTGCTTTTTTCTGCGTTAACAAATTGATCGGCGGACTTCGAAGTGGTGGCAAATGAGCATTAGAACTGAAATGATTGAAGTTTTGTATGAGTGTGCATTTTTAATAGTATTTTTTTTTGTATTCGCAATGCTATTAGTCACAATTGCTTCACCAAACCGATTAAATTGTTGGCCTCATCTCTTTCTCTCTCTCTCTCTCTCACTTTGGCCGAATTCAAATGAACGAACGATCCAAGAAAAGGGAATAATTCTTTCCCTATTACATTGTTCATGCGCTTTTATCCTTCTCGTGCGTAAATTATATTAAATGTAAATTATATTCGATGATTCTGCGTAACAAAATCACTTCGTTGTCGCTTTTATTCGATTCTTTTATGTTGGCGTTCATCACTTTATCTCGTGTCACTTCGAATGCCATCGCAACCGCAACCGCAATCGAATTTTCGATGTAAGTTTCAATTTTCCAATGTTATTGATTATCTGTCGAATACTGGCCAATTTACGTTATCATATCATCATCCGAATTTGGTTGTTGCGGTCAAATTGGAATTTGCATATTTATTGTATATATATATGTGCAAGTGTATGTACTATTAGAGTGTTTCCCGTATCAGCAAATAAAAAAATGGTATTTCTTAATTCAAAGAAGGCAAAATTCTATGTTAGTAAATGGCATTCATATAGCGAAACGATTGATTTTAGCACTTCCCGAAACGAAAACATATCTGAAAATATAGTTGATTAGAATTTGAAGTACAATTCTCTTTGCTGTTTGCACGTATATCGACACTGTTCGCTTTGATAGAATATTGTTGCGATTCTTTAGAATTCGATAAATAAACAAAAGAAAGTATTTATATTCAACGCATTTTCAGAATCGTGTTGTTCGCTGTGTCAGCTGTTTTTTTGGCCTGTAAAATCATTTTATGATTTGAACCAAGCAGTCCATACAACACATACACATTTATATCCATCGCGATAGGCTAATAATAATAATCATTCCGTTTCTTTTGCTCTTAAGTGTTTACATACAAACTGTGATTCCGTTTATTGGTTCCGTACCACACATTCTTATTCAAACGCTTTATAAACAAAAAATGTGTGCAGTATAAGAATGCTTTCGACACAGAACCATCGGAATGTGGAGAAGTGTGTTGGTTCAAATGAAACGATCGTGTTGAAACTTGTCAGAATCAATGTTTTTTTTATTTGAATTTGCATCGTCATAATTTCATTGGATTCGATTGATAAAAGTGCTAAAACATATTTTTGGATTGTGTCAGTGTATGTTATATTTGTTTCTTGCTTTCAAAGAAGTTTATTTTTCGCTGTTGGCGGTTTTCTATTGGAATCATTGTCAACCGATTGTTTTCAAACGAGATATTTGCGGTGAATTTTGTGTTTGATTTTGTTTAGTTTTGATAATAACAAAACATTCACAAGCTGAAACTGCAAATATTTCGATTCAACTTTGGACCGTGTTGGTGTGGTTTGCATTTATATGTTGCATTCAAAAGAGTTAATATCACTCAATTTGTCGATTTTGAATCACTTCACGCTTAACATTCAATCAGGTAACATCAAGTGTCAGTTTTGTCCCCATATATTCAGTGCTTCCTATTGATTCAATTCATTTAAAAATTACACAGTGCAGAAAATATATTTGTCATTTTATTTGTGTTCTAAATTGCGCGTGTGTTTTTTTTTATTTCGTTTTAGTTCAACATGTCAACGACTGGTGAAACTACGGCTGCTACAGCGCCAAGAAAAAAGCGATACAAATTTCAAACGAATGCGCAAAAAGAAAAGGATGCTGATGATGATGTAAACGATAATGGATTGTTCGCGATTAAAATGCGCCTCAACACAATTTTACGACCAGAGTTCAATCACATTGTCAAACCGTGGATCGAACAGAAAAGCATAATGTCAACGAAAATCACCGTTTTGGCATCATTACTTTTCTTGGATAAAGTGAAATCGGCACAAATGAATCGACAGTGGGAGTTTTTTAAAAACCGAACGTATCCGGCCAAAAAAGGAAAGAAGAAAGGACAGCTCGTTGAAAAGAATCGTGGCGAAGAAGTGATTGAGCAATGTTTCTATGCCGTCTTGCAAAAAAACAAAGAAGGTGAGAATATGGAGCCACATTTCCGTCAGTTTGTCGAAGAGCTCAGTCCAGAAAATAATTTCACCTGGCCCAAGAACGATTATTTTGGTAATCATTTTAAAACGCTGTGCCAAAATCACACGCGATGCTTGAAAACCGGTCAAACGACACACTGCAAGAAGAAGTTGAAAAATTATCTGCGAATGCGAGCGTGGCAATTCAACGCAGTGTCTACCGGTTGGAAATTCGACAAGAAGGACATTGACAATGCAGTCGATTTGATGATTCGAGGCTACAATGCGATCCGTGACACTCATCAAAATGCAGATTTCAAACGACACAAGCGAACATTACTTACTGGCATGGTTACTGCAATTGTGCGAGAAGTTGGTGGCCCAACCAATGATCACAACATCAAGGATTTTTCAAAAGGCGATTATTGGTTCAAAGCAACTGCAATGTGGCTCGTTATGCAGACAGAAATCGATGAGTGGCACAATTGGGCGCAAGATAACAATGTGAAGATACCAAATATCAAAAATCTCTCGGTTGTTCCATTGCCTGATTATCAACGAAAGGCAGTGTTCATGTGCAATGATGTCTTCTATCGAATGCTGGCCGAATCGAAACAACTTCCACAAGTTGATGGTAGACAAGCAACCGAAAGTTACATTCGCCAGAACAAAGAATTCTATTGGAATCAAGTATTCGATTTAACGACCATCAATCGAAAACTGAAGAAAAACAAAGAATTCCATTATACCATCGTCAGCAACGGTGAATCTGTGTCGATTATGTATCGCATGTCAAAGCAATACGAGCAACAGATGCAGAATGATGATATTCTTCGAAAGCAATTCATCGGCGGAAAATTTGCTTACGAACTGGGAATCGATCCAGGCATGAAAACATGGAATGCCACAGTTCGTCGAAATATCGAAACAAAGAAAGAAGTGAGTGTTTAAATTTTTGGCATTATTGAGAAATAGAAAGTGATACAGTTACGTGAATAATTTTTTTCTTCACTTTTCCATTTCAGGTCAACATGAAAACGTCCAGTAAGAAGTACCATTGGCTGGCAAAGCAGAAGACGCGCGATGTAAAGGCAAAACGATGGACGAAGCAGTTCACCCAAGAGGAGCAGGACGATCGAAATAATCGACAATTGTATCAGCGAATGCCATCACCACTGGGCATACTCTGGATTGATTACGTTCATCATCGTATCAAAATGCTCAAGAAAGGAATGGCCGTGTATACAACACCGAAATACACGCTGTTGCAGTTTGACAAGTACGTCGAATCGAATCGAACCGTTGATAAACTCACTGGGAATTTGGTCAATCATAAAGCCGCAATTATTCACATGGGAAATGCAGAAATATCACCAAACTCGTGCATTCGAATCAAAAAGCATGTGAGAGCTCCAGGTACGCGCAAACTACTCAAAGGCTTCCGAAAACGTCGCAATTGTCGTGTGCGCAAAACAGATGAGTGGGGTACATCGCAGCATTGTGCAAAGTGTGGGCGACGATTTAATCCAGCCACAAGGAGCCATCGATTCAAAGTGTGTGAAAATTGTGGAGCGGAGCCCGATTCAATTTTCGCCGAATATTTACCATCAAAAATCGTAGCACAGCGCAGCAAACGGCAATTGAGGTACAACAAAGATGACGTTGAACTTTATTTGATGCGATTTTGGGCAGAAGGACTCATGACTGAGCAAGAATTCGATATTGCTGCTGAACGTTTACTGTCTAAGGTGGCCGTGTATCCAAAAAATTGGCAAGTAAACACAGTGAGTGGTAAATTGGAATATGCTCAAGTCGATGCTGATGCACCGTATGCAACTGTTCAACAGCCATATGCAGTCGATGATGAAAATGAATTGGAAATCGAAGACAAGCAACTACTAATGGCTGTACACAAGACATCTTGGGATCGTGATATCGTCGCCGCCAAATGCATTCTCATCAAAGGTATGTGTATTAGAAATTTACATTTGCATATATTCTACATATTAAATGAAATGCACACTATTTGAATGATCTATTTTAGCGCTCGATGATAAATATGTATGCAATATTTAATGACATTGAGAAAATATTTTTTTAATAAAAAAATAAATTTCTGTTGAGATATCTAAACATTTGTATAGATTTAAGAAAAAAAATCATTTCTGCCAATAATCTATACATTATTTCCGTGTGTGTGTTTACTTTTGAATAGGACATTGTGAGCTGTTTGGATGGGATATTCCGGCAGGATTAGACAGACGATCACCGCGACAGCCAGCAGTTCAACCGAATCAGCAGCCTTAAGCATCACCAATCACCATTCGTACTCGAAAATTAATCAAAAATTAATATTGTAATTTGTTACATTAACTGAGACTGACTGTTGTGTCTCAGCATTTCGAGGAAGTACTTCTAGGTGTTTTTTTCTGTAAGTATTCTTCACTATGAGATTTTATTCATATAATGGAGTGATTGATATTCATATTCAGAGGCAACAATCGTTTTTCGCTTCGGGAAGTGTTGATATAAATCGCTTTGTTGTATCGATGCTACTAACCAGCATAGAATTTTGTCTACTTTCAATTAAAAAATACCATTTTTCTATTTACAGATATGGGAAACACCCTAATGTACTATAGACGATGATTTTGCAGCAGTATGCGTATCTAATTAATATTCATTGAATGTATTTTTGTTCTTCTGTTGTTTCTAAATCGCCTAGCAAAATGTCTGATTCTAATATCTAGCATAAAAACTTCGTTTACGGATATTTGTATGGTGGATTTTCTTCAATATAACTTTTCTATTATAATATATGTGTGTGCGAATATGTTGCAAAGAAAAAATTCTCTTCTACGTTTGTTGGTCGATTCATTTGTTTATCTTTGATTGGCATTTTTGTGGGATATTTGACGCACACATGCTTAAGAAAATCGGAATAAACTTTTTTTTTTCATTTCATTTGTGAACATTCTTCTTTGTTGGTGCCCCATTCTCTTTCACAATTTTATTTTTTTTTCTTTGCTTTGCATGAAATCAAACAAAAATGAAAAGAGAGAAAAACACTTGAACAAATTGTCAAACACTGTAATTTCTTTACATTTTCGGTCAGCACAACCATATGGACAAACGAATCGGTGTCGGTTCAATAGCAGATTGTTATTCTCTCTGCATCAACTGAAAATGAACCGAAGACAAACCAAAAACGATGTGATGTGTCTGTGCAATGTACACACATCGAATCGAAGTAATGTGGATACTCTGGAATATGAGTGCCATCAGTTTCGGGGGTGTTTAATGTTTGTTGTATGTTTAACAAGTGTTTCAAACTTCATTCTGGTGCTTGATTTTTCTTTATGTTTTTCATACAACAAAAAAAAAACCCAACGAATATCTCTCAAACAAACAAACAAACAAAAAATATGATAATACTTGAAAATGGTTTTACATTCAACTTACGATTTTATTTAAAACGATTCGTTGTGACAAGTAGTGTGCTGTTTATCCACCATTTATTCAACAAAAAGTGAAAGAACGAGACATTGACAAAAAAGCAACAGTGACAAATCAAAGATAAAAAAGTCACCATCCAAATGATTGGAAACTTTTCATTCACATTTTACCACTCTCTCACTATTTTCACATTTTACATTTTTTTTCGTTCCCATTGCGGCAACATTTCGATTCTCTTTTATTTGTATCTCAATTCTATTTCGGCTCACGCACTCTCGCACTCCGTTCAAGTCGATGTTATTTGTTCCAACTCATAGCATCTTATCAATTTTTGCTGTTGTTCTGGTGTGAAAATTTACTTGATTGGATTTTTTCTGTTTCTCTCTAATCGATAAGCTTCATTCAAATTCCCTAGAAACACAAAAATTCTGTTCTTTTCTTTTATTTGGTTCAACAGAGACGGTTTTTTCTTCTTCTTTCGCTAAGGGGTTCGCTGTTTCAAAAAAGTATAGCACTTCAGCTAATTTATGTGCGAGCGAACAATTTACAGGCAAAATTGATGTTTAAACTTATGAAATGTATCACTGGTGTTATTTTATTATTAAAACGAGAGTATACTAGATGCAACAACGACTTAATCAAACGAAAATAAAATGTTTTATATTGGTTTATGGTCTTGTTTTTCTTTTATTTGTTCGTATTTGAAGCTTTCGTATCGTTTCGATTTTCGATTAAATTTGTTTTTTTTTTTACTCATTCAAGTCCACTGTCTTCAATCTTGGCCAGTGTTTGGCTGCTTGACTGTGAAGAAAAATGTGTCGTTGTGCAAATTAGCGATGAAATTTTTCTCGTCACACACACAAAACGTCAAAACTGAACTAAATATGGGGAACAAACGCTTTTCTGAATTTTCACATTTTCCATCTTATATACCACACCGTGTATGCGGATGCTGTGTGCTGTGTGTGCAGAGACCGAAATATCTTTAAAGTTTCGAATTTATCAACGCAATGGCTTGAGAGCACACTTGCTGCTGCTGCTGCTGCCGTGTTGCTGTTTTCTGTTGATGGTGTGTTAGTTTTCGCATCTGTATGGTGGATGCTTTGCAAACACGTCATTCACAACACTTCCAAACAATTGGAAAATGTGTGCGTGCGCTGACAGAAAGTAGCTTTTCATTTGTCAGGCCAGTAGCTTCCATAAAACCGTAACCATAAAGTGTATTCTATTGATTCGACGGATGGAGAGCGATCTCGCAAAAATCAAATGAATGAAAACTGAAAGCAAAAGCAGAAAGACGAAAAGGTATGAAGGTGGGAAGAACATAGTGTAGCAGAACTTTTTCATGACTTTATGTATATATGTGTGTGTATGGTGTTTGCAAATAACGGGATACATATATGTTTGTGTTTGTGTGTGTGAGAGAGTGTTTGACTTTAAGTGAGACTATGGCTATAACATGAGATAGAGAAGTTCTATGCCATTTAACAACAATGTGAATTTTCGAAAGTGAACACAAAAACCGCTCTCTCCCTCTCTGTCACTCGAGTTCGGATGACGGGTGCCTTGCATATTTCTAAACAGCTTATGAAGTGTACAAAGTACATATGATATTATCTTATGGTAAAGCGCATTTATGGTGAGAGCTGCATGAGAGACGGTTACATAAGCGAGCATGTGTATTCAAAATTGTTTCCCCCTCTGCACAAATGAATGAAAGAGAGAATAACATCATTGCGCAACTGTCAGTGATGCTGTTTTCACTACTTTCAATGTAACGCATAACATCATCGAATTTATATATTAGCAAAACACAAATCCAAATGTTATGTTGTATTCTTTGTCAGCTACTGCATCAACCGAAATATACATGTGTCTCGTTCAAAAAAGAAGTCGAACACGCAAAAAAAACAACAACAACAACGCACCAAAACTTTTTTTTGTCTGTCTACTTGTCTATTCATGAGATATTTTATTCAGATTGAAAAGAAATCGCGTTTGATCCATTTCAACTGTCGCATGATCATTTTGTTTCTATTTATTTACTAGTCAAATTACTGTTGCGAATAATAAATCGATTAAAAGTTTCTGTTTTTTTTTCCCTTTTGGCCCCGTTCCGTATTGTGCGATGCAATGTAATTTTACAGAATTCTCGTCAGAAAACTAGTCTTTGGCACAAAAAACTCAAATGCCATGGTGATCCGGTACTCGTTGCTTTCCTTTCTCATTTTTCCAAATTTGCTGTCGCATATATCCATCCATCTTCAAAGATATACATCTATAGACACGACGAAACCACGACAGCAAGAATGCCAAAGCATGCGCAACGTTTATCTTCTTTCATGTGTGAAATTCGGATTTGACGGCAACCAAAAAACCAAGCACACACACACACACACACACACGAACGATAACAAAAATAGAGAGTTCGGATATAACGGAGAATAAGTCATTCTAATAAAAGAAAAAAAAAAACAAATAGATACGAGTAAATAGAATGCAATAACAAACACAATCATTTTAAAGTAAAGTTTGTGGCACCAGGAAAACACCGGATAGGGATGAACAGACAAAACTTTGTACATACACAGTAATTCATTCATGCCAATCACATCCAATTGGTTTGCCATGAATATATCGTCATCATAATTTCGTTGGCAATCTCACATCAAATTACTATGATAATAACGAACTACGGCGAAGACCAAAATTTTATAGAGTGTGCACTGTGTGCCACACACACACTAGCCACGCACATACATGGGAACAGGTAAACTATGATAGAACAAAATGAAAAATAAGCAACCGAAGCGAAGAAGAAAAAAAATGTTCACCAAAAGCACAGTCAACATTCGTAATATGTGCCATTGCTATGCATTTTTGTAACGATAATGATGGAATTTTTATATCAACTTAAATCGAAATGCATTCTCGTGTTGCAGCGGTAAAATGCCGTCACCGCGACCAATGTGCCAGAACGTGTTCCGATCTTTTTGAATGAACTCGGAAGCAATTTGCCATGGTGCACGATAATATTTCATTTTCCAGAAGAATTGTCCTTTAAGCTGGGTGAAAAACACCCAGTCACAAATGATTCGGTATTACAGCCATTTTAAAAATGCATAAAAAAACGAGAGTACATAACGAATAGAGTTGGATGGACGTTTTCGTGGTGGGTGGAAATTGTGTCCACTTTTTAAAGTTTACGCAATATGCAACCAATTTAAAAAGAACTATAAAACACCAATTTTCATTTTTTTTTTCATCTGTAACTTCTTCTCACCCCCAAAAATAAAAGATGCGAACGTGTTACTGAATAATCTCAATGGCATTTTTATTTGACCGAACAAATATTGAAATTTAAACAAAAGAGAGGGCGAGAGAATTACAGACCGAACGAGAGCAGATAAAAAAAAAAAACAAGAGAAGAGATGAAATAGTTTTAAACGAAACAAAGTTCATCATATAAAGAAAGTTTAATATTATTTTTTTTCTTATTATAGTTGTTCATGTTTGCAGTAAAATTTTAAAATTTTACAAACGAGAGAGAGAGAGATGAGAACACGCTGCATCCAAAAAAGGTGGCATATGGATAATCTTCCTAACACACAACGCTCATAGAAAAAATATTTCACAATTTATTTTTGAATAGAATGAACATTCAATGTGCGGTCGTTTAACCATAACTTATTCTATGAATTCAAAGTTTGAATCTCTCAAAAAAAAAAAAAAAAAATTCAAACATAATTGAATTAAATCGAATAGCTGCACCCTTTGACTTTGAATTCAAGAGTAGATATTGAATATACCAGTCCAAGTATGTCATATGGTAATAATGAAGAAACGTAAGCAGTTTATTTCAATAGTGAATTTTTGTGGATTTTCTTTTTTTATTTTCTTTCGAATTATTGCGCTTTGCATATTTAATGTACTCTGTCGTACTTTTTGTAACACACAACGATTTTCCATAGTGACCGCATTGCAGTTGATTTCATTCACCTAATTCACATAACGTATACAACTGAAAACATATTTATACTTTTTATATTAATCCACCTTAAGTACGTAAGTCAAATTTACTTAATGTTTTGTTTATAATGTGACGGAGTGATGGCAAACAACGTGGTACGTTTATTTAATTCACTAGTTTGTGACTGTGTTTTTTTAAATAAACACTTTGGTGTCTTAGTTAACATGGGAAGTCTTTTATTAAATTAAATGATTGTTCTATGATGATAGGCCATCAATGTGAAAATAACAGCTGTATGTCAAGTACACAGTTCTCATCGAAATAGGATTACTTTGAATTTAAACAAAAATGGGTAGGAAAATGTTTACTGATGATAATGAAAAAGTGCACATTTTTTTTTAACTTGCATTGAAATTCATGTCACACAAATTTAATCACCTGGATTTGAATAGGTGAAAGTATTCGCGTTGTTATTGAGTCAGATGATGGTCATCCGGTCTGCAAACATGGTCCAGCTTTACTATTCGAACGCCGAATTGAAAATGAATTTCAGCGGTTTTACGCTTGTTCGGCTTATCGCGATCAGAATGAATGCCCGCTCCATGTGCGAGTCGACCAAAATGAGGCAAAATTACAGGATCGTCATTTATTAACAGAAAATAAAGAGAATTCTTTAAATTTGGCACATGATCAATCGATATTAATGCAGAAGGTAAATTTAGAGAAATTTATAATTTTGACAATTAAACGTTTAAAGTTCGCATTTTGTTTTAGGTTTTAAAAGAAAGTACCTTTGAACGCAGCTATTGTCATACTTGTCACACATTTCTTATTGCATCTGAAAAGATTTCGAACGCTCACAAACACCACACAATTCAAAAGAGCATAACAAATGAACAAATTCAACGACCAACTACATTTTTACGATCACTATCCAATGACAAACGAGAAGCTCAGTATTTTTTCTCGGATGAATCGCTTAAATGTTTTGGCCACATATTTAAACGCCTTCAAATCAAGTAAGTTATTAATGACTGAGAGAGAGAGAGAGAAGCGCATCAATATAAAATCAATCTTTTTTTTTTAATTATATTTCAGTAAAATCGTTTGTATTGGAGCGCCTCGGCTACATGAGTTCCTGAAATATCACAAATCAAAATTGCACATTGAATCAATTTTGCTTGATTTGGATACGAGATTTTATTCATTTCACAATCGTGATGGTCTTTGTGATTTCTTCCATTATAATATGTTCAATAATTATTTCTTTGGTGGTGATGAAGTGCAGATGAAATTTCATCAATTTCTGCAAAATGCAAACAATGAGAAATGCTGTATATTTACCGATCCACCATTTGGTTGCCGAACAGAGCCGCTCGTGTCAACGTTACAAACCATAAGCCAAACATATCGTAGATTAAATCGATCGCATGATATCTTGCCAATATTTTGGGTGTTTCCATATTTTATGGAAATGTATATAACATCGTTGATGCCAGAAATGGATATGCTTGACTATAAAATCGATTATACGAACCATGAAACATATCATTCGGGTCAAGATGGTCGGAAGCAAGGATCACCAGTGCGTATTTTCACAAATGTTCCAAGTCATTTGATTGATTTATCAATTGTAAATGGTTATCGATTATGTAAAAAATGTAAACGTTGGGTATCAACGGAAAATCAACACTGTGACCAATGCAAGAAATGCCCATCGAAAAATGGCGATACATATGTACACTGTAAATTATGCGCAACGTGCGTGAAACCATCGTATAGGCATTGTAACAATTGTTGGCGTTGCACACAAATCGAAAATCATCAATGCAACAAATATCAATTGCAATTGAAATGTATGATATGCCTGCAAAAAGGACACAATGAAACTAATTGCCATAAATGGTTTGCAGTGTGCGGAAAAAATACCAAGGAAATCACTAAACTGAAAGCAAAATCCATTAAAATTGGTCGTCGCATTTGTTTGCTATGTTTTAAACCTGGTCACAATGAAAATACCTGTGCTAAGCGCAAACATTTATTGGATGAAATATCATTTTTAAATCAATGTTATAACAAATTATCAAATAATTCACTTTGAATTTGAGATTTTTCTTTTCTTTCTTCAATTCAAAGTATACACTATACAGTAACAATGTAATCTTTGCAATAAGTAGACAATTTAAAAAAAATAAACTATTTATTGAAACAAAAAGTTTTTCAATGAAAACTAAACATAAACAAAGAGTCTTTTGATGAGGTTTTTGATTTTTTATTCGAAAATATTTCTACCAAAACAAATTGATTGAAATTACTTAATGAATGAATTATTTTGAGTCCGAATCAAGTTCAGTAACTGCTTTGGAGAAATTTACAATAATTTTTACTTTTGTCAATTTGGCGCAACCGTTTGAACTTTAACATCTGATATCTTAGCAGAAAGAAAAATTGTTTTTGGATGGAAAACTTCGTGATTTCAAAAAGGGCACATTTTATTGAATGACATATTTTACAACACTGTCTGTACTAAAAACAAACTTTATCTAGAACGCTTTACGATTTGCTAAGTCTTTTATGCTATTATAAGTTTCTATGATCTTGGATCCAGTTTTCTCCAGGCCATTCATGGCCATTCTAAGGTTGTCGCCGAATTTGATCGGTTGTGCTGGTAACGCTTGGCTATTTGGAATTTGATTTTCATGGAACCGCATGAAAGCAATCGAATCATCTACACCATTCAATCAGAAAAAAAAAAAACATAAAAAATTGGTTAAAAGTCATTTGTCAACGCAAACCAAGCTGGTTTTAATCACTGAATATGAATCAATACTGACCACGATTGTTAGCAAGTTCCACTTTTGTATTCACTGCGGGAGCTACTGATGAAGTTAATTGGTTTTTTGAGTCCTTGAATTCATTTGGAAATTTACGCTGTTTGGCATCATAACCGTTGGAGGATTTTCTGTACAGTTCGAAAAGTGATTTTATTTTATTTTTTACACAAAATTAGAAGAAAACATACAGTTTTAATTTGGTTTTGCTTTCTTTTGATTGTTCAACATCACGAACGAATTTGCGTTTGACATCCCTTTGTACTACCGCTAGATGTGAGTTGTCGTTGTATTCGGGATTCGCAACTTTTGCACCGCTATTACATCCACATGGTTCATTGTACACATTTAAATCGATGGGCTAACACAAACCATAAACACAATGAAGTTAGAATCAAACTAACAATTTCGAAACACTTCAAAGATTCGCACTTATTTTGACGGAACTTACCAAATAATAGCCACACGTGAGTTCGATGATGACCATTAAAGTCAAAAATGCAAAAATCGATTTCATGCTTGCTGTATTTTTGTGCGTTATGATAATTGAATTGAACTGAACTGCACCATAGTCCAGTGGTATTTATATGTTTTCATTCCAATCAGTGTCAGCATTTTCGGTAATGCTTAACGCAAAATTGTTCCTAATTTAAAAAAAACCGATGGTTAAGCAAATTTTGTAACTGCTTGTGTGGAACAAAAATATATGTATGCAATAAAGCCTAACAGGTGTTTATTTCCTCAGTTTTTGCATTATTGTCGGAAAACAAATGAAAAAGGTCATTCATAAATTTGCATATCTTCCGCAATCAGAGATCGTCATGACTTTTAATCGAACTGCCATGCATTCTTTGAACCAAATGACGATCAAAGAATAGCCGTTTTGCAAAATAAAAAACCCCAATGGTCTTTAAGATTCTTCATAAAAAATAACAACAGTGTCATAAAAACAATCTAGATATTCAAAATGTCGAAAAAAAGAAGATTTTATTTGAAATTGTGGCTGAGATAGTGTTTGTTATTTGCATATTTGTGACGATAAAATGAAAAGTTTGTAGATAAGAAAAAACGATTTGAAATATAATACTCAACTTTATCTGAAATCTAGACGATGTACACCACATGTATCAGCACATAAATCAGTACGCATTCAGTAGCATTTTATCTCATTTAAAGTATCATTTCAGTACAACTAACCAAAATGGTCACATTATCCATTGAATTTATTAAAAGTTTTCTAAGTTTAAGCGTGATTTCAATCTCTTTCATAATAAAATTTCCGCAAATTATTCGAATATATAAATCAAAATCAGCAAAAGGTTTGAATGAAATGTTCATTTCATTTTTATAATTTCAAATTTGGTTAACATTTGTTAAATTTCATCAAAACAGGAATCAGTTTGTTCTCATTGTGCTTGGGAATATGTCGATTGTCTATAGTCGGCACGTACAATTATTGTCATGGCTATTCAATTTTGATGTATCTTGAATGTCCGTTGATTTTATTCCAAGATTCGATTTTACTTTACTTTGTATTAAAACATAACAATTTACTCAAAATTGATGTCATTTTGTTATCTTTTCTGGCTTGTTTCATAATCTTTATGTTTATGGTTGGAATTCTTCCGAAGATCATTTTGGAATATATTATTGTGAGTGACTTGCTTGGATTTTTTTGTATCGTGTAAGCCTTTACATCAAATTGTTTCCATTTCATATAGGTGATATGTCCAGCACTCAATTTAATAAGTCGGTTCTCACAAGTGTTTAAAATCGTTCAGCTCAAAAATGCCGGTGCCGTTAGTTTGAATACATGGATTTTGACGTCATATGTTGCATTTGGTAAATAAATATTTTAAAATACAAATCAAAATATCACAATTTTAAAATGAAAATTCTTTTTAGCTCGAGTTTGTACACATTTGATGGACTCACGAGATAAACTTCTTCTACTCAATCCAGTGACAGGGTTTTTGGGCTCGATATCAATCGTCTTTAGTACACTTTACTATCAAAATAAAGTGAAAAAATCACAATAAAAAAAAAACAACGTATTACATGTATAATCATCGTGTTTGTTTGTAATTATCATCAATTTTTAATATCCAACAGCAATACAAGTAACAAATATAATTAAGCAAATGAAAAACCACAAACGATCTATTACTTTGAAGAAATCACCGGAGGCATTCGATTCATGATCATCATAATACGTCTGTATGTATAAAAATGAACATTAAATTTTGAATAAAGAAAATTCTAAGCCGGAGATATTAATTTACGTACATCGACGGTGTCTGTGCCAGCCAATAATTGTGCCCATTTATATGAAGCGATTTGTGTAAATAGCTCAATGTTCGGTTTTTGTTCCTTAAACCAACAATGCATGGTGAAAGTGAATAAAGAAGCCCACACCACAAACATCGAACTTGTGTAATAAACCACTGTAAAAGTAATGACAATTAAATGACCACAGTTTGAAACAATCATTCAGTTGATACATGCCGACGGTCGGTGTATAATTTGTTGGGCCATGATCAACAAGTACCAAGAGCATTGCCATCAAAATAAATAAACTTATTGCATTCAACATAACGCGCAGAAATTTATCCACCCAAAATGACAGTAAAATTAACACATATGCCCCTACAATGAAAAAAACCCATTAAAATACATTGTTTGGATACGCGTATCTAATTGATGATTATCAATAAATACCAATTAGCGGCATCGATATAATATTATTGTAGAACAAATTATTTCGTCCAAGAATAACATCAATTTTCAAAATAGATAACGATTTGATTGGGCCATCTTCTGTTAAGACATACGGTGCGTCTGTATGTAGCGTATATGTAGCTTTTGTGTCAATTATACGCCATTCGCTTTCGTCAAAATGTGATACGAAATTCTAAGAGAGAGACAGAGAGAAACAATACACAAGTTCTTTTCAAATCGAGAAACTCTATCCTTGTACCTTTGGTAAAACATTAAATACATTATTTAGTGGAATGAGTGTGGCATTTGTTAAATGATCCAAATGTATTTGAATGCTACAGTTCACTTTTTCATATGGCCAATCTCGATGTGAATTCAAGCACCACGTTGAAAAAATAATCTCATTTGTTTCGGCCCAAACGCTTCCATTTGAAAAAATCATCAGAGTATAAGATAGTGGTACATATGTAAAATGGTCATCTTTTCCACTGAAAAAAAAAAACAAAAAATTCAACATTTTACTTCTTCCTTTTTGCATCATCACAAATTCATTCGTTCGCATTTTTTAATCTTGCCAATGTACTTCAGTAAACGAATCTGTGGCGTCCATACAATTTCTGAGGCTGGAATTTTATATAGATAAATCTGTGATTTTCCACCGTATTTACTTGGTTCCCATACCAATTTTCCATCGATCCAACTCTGTGAATAATTTAAATCGATTTTTTTTTTCTAATTTGCAAAAAAAATTTGATTACATTTTACCGCTCGGAATTTTCCACGGGATGTTTGATATGATTTTTTTGCATTAAAATATGTATGAACTAAATTAAAATCCAACATAACCGTATCCAATCCGTTGGGCACAACATTTGCATCATACTCGCGGAGAATGTCATTTTCCAAACGTTGATTGTCCGTGAGATTTTGTTTGATTGGTGCCAATTTATTTCCAATTGAATCACTCTCACAATCATAAAAATACTTTGCTTCAGCTGTGCCCCAAGTACTAAACCATGAAATTCAAACATGAAAAAGAATTTGTTCAAATTCACCGTTAAATCTGAATATAGAAATTGGTCAACCTAAAGCTAATATATTTGATGTCGAGCACATTCGGATCAAATGCCGATAAAAACGGTGATGATTGTCCAGTGATTGTAATACTAATGTTTCCGGATTTCGTAATGACAACCGTCAATGGCATCACGTCAGTTTGCGATAGAAAATTTTTCATTCGCATTGTCTTAAGCGGTTGACTTTGTCGCTGTCGTCTTATCTCATTGAATGTATTTCCACCCGCACCCAATACTACAATTGAAAGAAAAAAAAAAAGGTTGCACTCTCAAAATCGTTTTGAAAATCAATGTCTTATGCTAAATAAAAACAAAGTGTACACAAACCAATTTCATAAATGGGCGACGATTTTATTTGATCGGTAGGTGATAATAGAATATGCGCATCTTTTGCAGCCAATACGAATATTTTTAAATTCAAAATTGTGTCACTCGTTTCGGGTATGTTTCGATTCGGTTTGAGAGATTCAATATGAAAAAATGTTGTGTACTTGTAACCTGATTTCACATCGTATTCCTTACAAAACTGTAACTCTGCGAAATGGGATCAATAAAAATCAATGGATTTTTTTTTTGAAAATTGATGATGATTTGGCGTACAACCTGCATACGAAACATTAAATTTATTTCCCACAGTTTCTTTAATGAAACATGCACTAGCCAATAAAATCAAGTGGTAATACATGTTTTATGCACTTCAAACGTTCGCTTATTCATTTATTACTGATATTTTAAACATTTCAGACGAGCGAAAAATCATTGAAGCAAAAATACTCTCTCGCGTAGGATGATACCGGAAAGTATGAAACTATATTTTTTTTTTTAAATACATACATATCGATAGTGATAGCTTTATCACGACACAAGCATATGACTGTGAGATAAAGTGTTTGTACGCATCTTGACATAGTTATTAAAATGTTTCTGATTTATTTTAAAAAATAAAGTTGTCGACATCAAAATTATGAATATCAAAGTATGCTTATTTTCGATGTAAAAGCCTGATTAATTGTGTTTGCACAATAAAAACAATTAAAAAATGGTGCACATGATTTGGTGAGCGGCCAAGAACACAATTTAAATTCAAAATATACGGTTTTTGCCATTTTTTTTCATAATTCCATGCCAAAATGTGTTTAAGGTTCAGAACAATAATAAAATCACACGGCAATGATTTTTTTATAAATAAAATAAAGATTTTTGTATGGTACTTGCTGTTTAAACACAGAACAACTTAAACCGATTGTTGAATGGGTTCCATTCAATTATAATCTTTAAAAAGACTTTTAATTTGCGAAACTTTTTAAGGTGTAAAAAAGTAATTTGGGACCGCAAACTAATTTCAGTGCCCAAAATGAGATCAATTTTAAGATTGATAGATTCCCATCTCTTCTGTTGGCGTCTGGAGATTGAAAGCGCGTGAAACAAGTAAATTCTATCTAGATTTTCTTGTGACACTTGATGGCAAAAAAACTGGAACTAATGCACTGAATTTATCTCTTAACATAAAAAGAAAGAAAAATGCACAATTGTTTAATTGTTATCAAACTATATTTTGCGACATTTCGTCACTTCATTTTTTTAAATGATTTCTGTTGTTCAGACGGTTTGTCCGGTGATTTGTTTTATTTATTTATTTATTTTTTTCTCAATTATTTTCTTACAATACGTTATAATTGCATAGTATTATGCACATTTTGTGTTTTGTTCTTTATTTAAATTTTAATCTATTAATTTACTTTTTCAACGTAATATATGAGTTCAGTTTAGTTTTGTTGGTTATTGTTTACCCAATAATTATTAAAGTAAACCGCACATTTACGTGTGTGTGTGTGTTTAGCTTTTCTTGCGTCCGTTGTGTTGTTAATGTGTGTGTGTGTTTGTTTGTTTTTTAACCATTTAAGAAAGAGGGAAAGTGTTCGTGTAGTTTACCTATTCGATTTTAGATTAAGGAAAATTCTGATTTTCATCTCATTTAAGCGCTACATATTTTCTAATTAAAAAAAAACACACCAAAATGTCTAAATAATTTACACATAAATCAATGTCACAGTGTTTTTCTTTCAAACTTTCTCATGTTTTTTTGGCTTTCGATTCAATTCATATGCGTATGTGTGGTTGTATACAATGGATGTCATCTCTCCAACGGGAAAGATGAAATGAGACCAAAATCCTATGAACATTATTTTTAATTTAAAATGGGTGTGTTTTTTCATCAGTTTCTTAACTCGAAAATGAGTTTCTATATTGTCAACAAATGTTATTTATGTAGTGTTTTGTGTATGATCATTGTCATTGACAATATCTTGAAAATTAAAAATGGTTTGTCTCTAGATTAAATACGTAATTTGAACTTGTCTATTGTGCACTTTGCCATCGGAAATCGCTCGTGATTTTTTCTTTGTTTAATAAAAATATGTTAATTAAGCGGAACTGTGATCTGTATTGCGTAATACGGCCAAGTGTTTTAATGTTAAATAACGGCAATTCGGCAGATTTTGCTCTTTATTTCCGAAATCGGAACGAACAAGTAATTGTCGGTAAACAATGACGCGTACGATTGCCTTGAGAAATCACAAAAAAGCACACACATTTTTCGCCACACAAAAAAAAATATCCACATAATTAAAACCAATCATTCTGACGATGAAGATGAGAAAGACATTTATTGATTCAAAAATATTTCTCATTTACTTTTTGTTCTGATAGTTTTCGTTGTCATTTTTATTTTGTTTCTATTTTTTTTTTAATAATAATTTTTTCATCAAACAAAAAACATTCTTTGCAAATCGGTTTTATACATTTTGGTAAATATTGAAACAAGTCAAAAGAAAACAAATAAATAATAATAAGATTTTTAAAGTAGTTTATCATATTTTTCGTCCAAAATGGTTGTTTTTCTTTTCGTTTTGAATTTTGTGTTTTCACAATTTGTTGTCGAATTTTTTTAAAAAAAGAAATAATAAACGTTTTCCGATTTTATGTAGTCGATCTCTAATCGTGTGATATTTTTTTCGCATGTGATTCAAATGAAAATAAAAATCTATCGAGTTTTGCAAAAACTATTTCATAATTAGGTACACTAACCATGTAAAGCGAAGAAAAAAGTGGGAGAATGTGGCTAGACTAAACACATTTTGTTTGTTTATTTGTTTCTTTTATCTAAGTAAACGTATTTTTGTTTTGTTCAACGCTCAAATCAATACAACTATAATAATATGAAGAAGTTTCTGGTATTTCATTTTTGTTTTGTCATTTTAAACACATGTTCACGAAATATTGAGTTTTTCTTGTCACTTCTTAAATTTCTTTGAATTCAACGAATTAGAAAAAAAATATGTTAGAATTTTAAAAAAATCTATGCATAATGATACAAATATTTAAATCCTTGTTTTTATATCCATTAAATTGCTCCTCCTTTCATCTTATTCATATTGTTTTTCTCTTTTTTTATGTTGTCAATAGAAAATAATATGCTTTAGTTGTTTTCACATTTTCACACTGTAGCGGCATTATTATTTTTCTTTAATCATTATTTTATATTTTATTTTATTTTATTTTTTCGTTTTGAATACAAAAACATCAATCTAAGCAACAACAGCGAATAACGACGGTCATTGAGATGCATCCAAGATGGAATCGATACTGGCAAATGCACAGCTACCGATTGACGAGCTCGCCATTAGGTGCAATAATTCGCAGGCATGTGCCACACACACTTCTAACGGTGGCCGCCATGAGTAGTTTAATGATTCTAATCGAATAGAGAATAGAAAATTATGTAATAATTAGTACAATTTGATGGACAAACATTTTCATCTGGGATCGGTAATCGATCGATATTTTTTATATTTAATTATTACCTAATATGGCAGAGTTTAATGCAGCACAAACAATTTCACGCCGTGAAGGACATAACTGCCATCCCATCGGACTAGACCAAGGATTTGAATAAGCTAACAAACTAAATGCATCCTGTAAGAAGATTCGTGTTATTTGTTAAATGAAAGGCAATGAATAAGTGACATTTCATCGCTTACTTCTAACATTTTGCGATTTGTTTCATTTACTCCATTTTCCTTTTCCAGTCGTTGGCTCATCTGAAATAGCTCACGACCGAATTCGAGCATTCGTTCAACACCTGATTTGCTCGTCTTTCTATTTGGTATCAGGTCCACGTCTATATTTGGGATGAAAATACAAATCGTCATTATTAATGTAAACAAAATGAAAAACCAAATTATATGTACCCATATCTTCGTCCGTGTCTATTGATGTATGGTTGATGTTGATATCGGTTCCATTTTTATGGCTGTTACCTGTGACGCAAAAAAATCATCAATTCATTACTATCAATAATGGGTGCTTTTTTCGGTTCTATTTTCCAAAAACAACAAATATGACATACCATTCGTTACGTTATGACCATTTTCCATTTCAACATCACTGCTGAAATCGTTGTTATTTGCTGTGTTTATTTGGTTATTCAATTGAACGTCATCGTGATTGCAATTATTTTTTAATGGTTCGCATAGATGTTCTAAATTGTTTGTCGCCGAAAAATTACTAAAAAAAAATCGAAAAATAAAAAATCAATCAATTTTCAAGGACATACTTGGTGCCATATATACACATTTAAATAGTAAAATGACACATTTTTTTCAAACGATGAATAATGCTTACTCAATGTTATTAATGTCGGGGTTGTCGTTCATTGTGGTTGATGACTCGCTGATTAGGGGACCGATGTTATTATTTATATTGTTTGCGTTATTGTTTATACCGTTATTGTTGTTTGTTTGTGATCCATTTTGATAGGATTTCGTTGATTGAATCACTGACGTTTGGACTGGATTGCTTGTTGAACGAGATATGCCATTCTGACGGAGAGGGAAAAAGAAACAAACCAACACATATTGTAAAATCATTTGATATCGAAATACAATTTAATTTATAGGTGTTACTCACCTCAAAATCAGATCCGTTTACCATTTCAACAAATTGTCTGCACTTTAACATGAACAATAGATTTTGATTGTTTTCTAATAAACCGGGATAGGAACGAAGTGTGTGCTCGATTGCAATACCCATTCGACCGCCCATGACCAGCTTCAAGATTTCTAAAACATTCAAATTATTTGAAGAAAAAATTATGAATAAGAGAAAATGCATCGATGCCAAAATGTCTTGAAAAAAAAAAAATCTCTCTATTCTATTACTTTGACGAGTTTTTATTGAAGTCATCTCTTCAACGATATTTTGTTCGGTTGCTTTTGCAAATGATTCAGCTGTCGAACTATAGCCATGATGAACTAAATATGATGAAACCATTCTAAATGTGTAAAAGTAGATGAATTAGTTGATTTTCCGATATGGATTTTGAATATCAACGAACTTATTTAAGATTATAGTCCAATCGCCCTGATCATCGGGCAGTGGAAACTTTAGTATGGAAGCTTTTGTTGACTCTCTCAATTCTTTAAGCATATCTTCGATATCGAACATAAACGGTTGTTGCCCAAAATTTGCGTCAACAATTTCGCCGGGCGTCTGTAGACCAACTGTTGGATATAATTTTGACTGCAATGAAAGACAAAATGAAAACAAAAATAATTCAATCAATTTGGTAAACAATACAAATGCACTTAAAAAATGCACAATAATCGAAATAATCGTACCGGTAAATCGTGAAATGCGACGCCAAGATTGTGACCATTTTTCGTGTAGAAACATGTATTTGTAACTAAATTAACGCCACAGCCGATAATGTCGTCGGTGGTAAATGTTGGTCCGTATGTTTTACCTAAGGGGAGAATCACAAAAGAAAAGAATAAAATTTAAAATAATCGAAACTAATCGAAAAATAATCGTAAAACAATCAATAATAATTAAAAAGTAATTTTTAAGTGATTTGCCCCTCAGTTTTACCATTGCCAGACGATGAGAACGAATTGCCATCATCACCATGATAGCCATATGATTGTTTATCCCAGCCGGGTAGTCGATTTGCTTTGAAATTCTGTGCGGTTAAACCGATGCCCATGTAACCGTCGCGACCTTTCGATATGATTTTTACTTCGAAATAATACAGGCCACAAGCTGCCGGGATCGGATATGGTGTACGTACGGAAGCAGCATCACTATGTGATTTTCCAATACCTATGTGTCAGAGAGAAAAAAATCCAATAAGAAACCAATGAATTTTCGATTGAATATTGTATCGGTTTGGATCATTTGCCTTTCATTTTTCCACTTCATTTATTGTGCGTTTGAAAGCAAAAGTGTACGAAATCATTTATTCATTCAAACTATTCATTGTGAGGTTTTTTTTTTCAAATTCGGAATCAGATTTCTGAGTTCTGCATTCGATTTTATTTGTTATATCGCGCATTCGATGAGCTAACTATTTTGTCCCTCTTTCTCTCTCTTTGTGTGTGTCAGCTCATTGAAATCGATAGACCGAAACTTTAACCCATAATAAATTGACTATAGACAAAATAATGTGCCTTTACTATAACATGCATGGCTGCCGCTTATGCATTCAATAAAAGGAAACATTCTATATATCACATATACATATATATTCTTTTTTTTTTTCACTTTATCGCTCACATTGGATTGCGGCGATTGAAATATTTTTTCTGAGGTTTATCGATTCGACAATCAATGTGATTGACAAAAAAGATCCTTGTCATCACTGCATGCATATTTGAACGAGATATTTAATCAACCAAGAAATGATTTAAAAAAATATCAACAAACATAACACCATTTACATTCACATTGATTTGTTGATTTTTAATTGATTGAACGATATTCATAATGATTCATCCGAATCGAAGACAATACATCTTCTAATATGAAACATAAGTTAAAATATTTTTGCATGAATCAAGTTACAATAAATATTTTGAACAATTGACTCTTTAATACAGAAAGCCAAATGCAAAAGAACAGATTTATTTTATTTGTCTCTCTCTTTTCTCTTCAGAAGTTCTTCCATCAGAAGGTTAATTGAAGTAGTCCCGTCAAAGCGATAATTACAAAATATTTCAATTAAACTTGTAGCTTTGGCAATGTCTGATCTTTTACTGTATTTATTAGTCTCTGTTCCCTTCCCACCTCTGTTCATCTACTCATATTTTACTGTAATAAAGCAAATTCTTAAAAATTACCGAAGAAAATCGATTTGAAATAACAAAAAAAAAACGATTGCGAAAATCATCTGGAACAGCAAAAGTCATGTTTATGAATTTTCATTTTAATCAAAATGCTTTTTGGCTCATGTATAAATATCGTTTGAATTAGCTTAGGAAAATATGACATATATATAAAGGTAAGTTCATTAATTTTTTAGGGAGTACATGCCGTATACTCTAATCATTGCTTTTTGCATAGATTTTGTGACAAAATAACCATTTTATATCAGGATAAGTGTCCACCTTAAGACTCTCTTTTCGAAACGAACACGCTGGTGCTCTTGACTGTGTGAATGTGTATGTGAGTGTGTCTATCACACTGTTTTTTTTCTTCTATTTTACTGCAGACTCATCTGCTGCTACACACACTTCATGCACACGAATTTTACACTTGTGTGCTCACATAACTGTTGTTGGTAGTGAGATTTTATTATTATTGTTGTTGTTATTGCTACTGCTGCTGCTGCTGCTGCTTGTGCTCATTTTGTTCAGCACAAAGAAAGGCATTTGCGCACGATTTTTAAATCGCAATTTTTTTTGTAACATGAATCGCGAAATTTCGTAAATTTTGTTTTTTTCATTAATTTTGGATAATTTATTACACGGAAACGAAATGAAAATAAATTGAAAGCAAGTGCGCAAAAAATGAACGCTCACTTATGGCAAAAAAAACAACAACAACTAAATCATTAGACAAAAAAACAACAACAACAAATTTATATTTTCAAAAGCCAAAAACAAACCTAGTAAAATCAAACACAATAATACAAAAAAAAAGTGAGCGTGAGCGTTAATACAAAAACCTTGTACAGCAACGACAACAACGACAACATTCGATGCGCGTTTTGATGAAAATCAGCTGATAGAGAGGGAGAGAAAGAGAGCTCATTTTTTTTGTACTTCTGTATCTTTCCGTCCATTTTTCCTTTCTTGTCTCGTTCTGGGTCTTTTTTTGTCGTTATAATTTACGTATTTAAAATTCTCTCATAAATAAATAAATTATTAAAACAAACAACTACATAATGGTCATTCGGAAAATGTGTTTGTTATAGGTGTTCACTTCTTCGATATTTTCGTAACAGCACTTGATTGTTGATTTTTTTTTTATCCAACCCAATAAAGACACAGATATATTTTCGTGACAGAACGTACACTTGAGCCTTTGTTTTGTGTGTGATTTTCATGCTCCTTTGTATTGTTTTCCGTTTTGACCTTTATTTTAAATTGATCAAAAGATTTTCGTGTGCTTTAATGTATTCAATCAATTGTAATGCAATGTCAAGTATTAGGTAAAACACCGTTTAATTCAATTTTTTTCATTTAAATTTTCTCACGAATGGATTTATTGTTTATTTCATGATGCGGGTAAAATTACTGACAGAGTAGCCAATATTCTGTATTTATATATTTATAGGAGTATTTGGAATGTGGCACACACATCTCGCAAAAAATGCGTCAAATGACAGAAGAAGAAGAGAAGAGGAAGAGAAATAAAAAAAACGACACAACAAAACTCAGCAAACAGCACAAGAAATGACAATTGAGATATACAAGATAAAACAAACAAAATATGAATTAATGTTGCATAAAAACCTTTGTAATGAACACGTAAATTATTTTGGGTCAGTCCAATCGTAATACACTTCTCTTGTGAGCTCCATGATCGAGGTAGTGGCGTCAAATTTTCATCAACATTTGGATATAATAATTTTAGACGATCCACTGGCTGACCAGACATATCTTTTTCGGTTGGAATATACGTTGCATCCATTGTTGTCAAATTGTTCTCACTTTTTCTATAATTGTTTTTTATCGCTTGCCTTTGAATTGAATATTACTTTGAAAATTTCATCACTACACTTGATGTAAACGTTGTTGTTTGTCAGCCATTTATAATTTTTTTTTTTTTTTTATATTGATGAGATTCAGTTTTTGCTCGTATTTCTTTGTGTAACTGTGATGCACATACAAATGAAAACTAAACTTCATCCAGAGTGAAACATACAACACTAACTAACACACAGTCAACCACACCAAAACAGCCTGTCTCTCAATCGTTACGTACGTATTTCTCACTCTGTCCCAATGTTTCTATGCTTATTGCGTATGAAATATACTTCAGTTTTGCTCAGCTCACCCGTTCATTTAGTGTTATGGCCCTACAAATCAATGTGCACACACGAATTGTCTTGCATATACTGCTTTTGTATAGAAAATAATGTGCTCGCTCACAACGTATACATGATGAACAGATGAAGAAAAAAAAACAACAACACAAAATCTATAGGTAACAAAGCTACTGCTGCAAATACATATGTTTCGTCTCTTTTGCGCAAATTCAAACGATATGATGAAGTGTTTTCATGCTGTCACTTTTATCACATCACAATGGGCATTGAAAAAATATCCCTCTTGTTGAGCGACAACACAAACATATAGTCAATGGCAACATCGGTTTTCCATTCCATATGGTTGCATTTTATCGCACGAAAATTACCCACTTTTGGTATTACCATTGTATGCACCACAAAATTTAAAATTTCTGAAAATAAATACAGTTGATATGGATATAACTTGAATGTTAGCTTTCATTTGTATCATTTGTATCATTGCCAGACAAATATTTTATATTCATTTATTTCGATTGTTTTTTTTTTTGTAAGAAATTGCAATTCTTTGGGATATTTTCAATTCAAACGGCAAAAAATTGTGCTGACAATAAATACAATGTTCATCTCGAGATGGCGACACAATATCACGAACGCCAACTGTCAAAATGTCAAAATAACAATTCTCGCGTTTTCCAAACGTTTGTTGCTTCGTTGTATTGGCCTTGTTGTTTTCAGTGCAAAGAAAACAATCGAAAATTGTGGCATTCCATTGTCCAGGGCAAATAAATTATTAAATAGCAATTATTTAGTTCATTCAAATTGGAAACCATGTCGAAAAATCCATCGGCTTTAGCATCACTTACAGCAAATTACACAGATTCAGAGAATGAAGAGGGTCACGATTCCGATGACAATAGCCCGCGAACAGAAGAGTCCAGCGAATCCCAAGTAAGTTCAAATGCGTTTTTTGGTGCCCGAAAATATTTTGATACTAATGATTTTTTTTGTTTTTTGGTTCAATCAATTTAAAGGTAATATTTCCAGCATCGTCAAAACCAACAACTCCGGTCAAAACACGATCAGTGAATTCAACACCGTCAAAAGCAAAATCTGGTTTACGTCTTGTTAGCTATCACGATGACACAGTCATATCAGACGATGATAATGACGACGATTCGCCGACGCATGAGGACATCGAAATGGAAACATCCGATCGCGAAGCAGAAACTGAATTCGGTGAAAATAATGAAAACGTAGAACCGACCAATGAAGTGAAACGAGATCGTGTTGCTGAATATGGTTTTGCATTGCCACCAGAACCAAAAGGCAAGTGCCCACAAGAATTACAAGAGAAGATCAACAAAATGTACGAGAAAATGAAAACACAAAATATGAACATGAATAAATTGATACAGGAGCGAAAAGAATTTCGAAATCCAAGCATTTATGAAAAGCTTATTCAATATTGTGATATCGACGAACTGGGCACAAATTATCCACCCGAAATTTATGATCCAATGCAATGGACAAGTATGTTTATTTATGATTTATAATATGTTTTATCCGGTGACACCGTCACCATCATGTAAATCATGTAATATATTTGGTGTTCGCCTTTTTTTTTCAGATAAAGAATCATTTTATTATGAAGAATTGGCAAAAGTACAAAAAACTGAAATGGACAAACGGGAAAAAGAGTTTAGCAAAACGGATATGGTACATGCGAGGGGCAAATCACTTAAAAATTACTTATTAATTATTATTGATTGTTTTGCGATTATTCTTCGATTAGTTTCGATTATCGTCATTAATTGTAATATATGTATTACGTATGAGATTGTCAAATGACGATGATGGAAATTGAATCTATGTGAAATAAAAAGAGAGAGAGAGAGTGTGTGTGTGGATGAATAAGTGAGTGATAGATGATTGGGAAACCATTAGAATGTAAGAGAAAACATACAAAAGAAACAAAAGTCACAACAGCATATAACAGATTGCTGACGAAAAATTGAGATTTGGTAGTAGCAGTGGAGAGAACAACACACAAAGAATCAATGTTGTACACACAGTAGCATTGCATCGGAACATCGTCACAACGACGACAACATGGCGACGCAAACGGATAAACGAAAACTGTATCAACAGCAACAAGAAATCACATTCGGGTAACAATTGTCATATTTTGCATAGTAGCTAACGCATTCGCTGTTCAATATCGGCCACTGTCAACGACAAAGCGATTTGAATGTGTTGGTGTGAGAGTGTATTTGACTGTGACATTTCAAACCAACAAGCCGGCAACAAGTCACATCGTCTTGAACCATCATCAGTGTAAGAACTAAAATTGCTGCGCATAAATTTTCAGTTTGCATTGAAAGTGTAATATTCTCTCGAATTGGATTTTTGTCGGTTTTTCCAAAAAAAGTGTTCGGTAAGTATTATTTTAAAATATAATATTAAACATAATTTTCGAATTTTTTACAAAAAATTGACTGCATGCTAGAATTAGATTGAGATAGAGAGAAACACATTGAACACAATACAAAGTCATGTTAAATCATGAATTTCATCATTGCGCACATTGGATTACGGGTACCGTTAGCCAATAGTACGACGCAGTTTCTTATGATTTTTCAAACAACGATATGCAATTGAATGTTTTTTAGATTGATTTTTTTAATATTGACCAGAGCATATACTGAGCATAGATATATATCCGGGATATTTTGTGAGTATCCGATATTTATCGCAGCCAGACATTATAATGGAGTGAGAACAATAGAAGTGATTGTTATAGGTCTAAGTATAAAACCATTTACATTACTACAATCACTATAACAATAACTTCTATTGTTTTTACTCTATTTCAAAGTCTGGCTCCAATGAATATCGGATACTGACAAAATATCCAGGATATATATCTATGCTTAGTATATTCTCTGATATTGACTACATCGTAGAATTAGATTGAGATAGAGAGAAACACATTGAACACAATACAAAATCATGTTAAATCATGAAATTCATCATTGCGCACATTGGATTACGGGTACCGTTAGCCAATAGTGCGACGAAGTTTCTCATGATTTTTCAAAGCCCACTTTGACTACGATATGCAATTGAATCTTTTTTTAAGATTTTTTTTTAAATATTTTTTTTTGTTTGAACATTCATTCATTGGCAGGAACAATAAATCCAACACATCAAATGTCGAAGAAGAATATGGACACATTTTTAGTTCTTACACTGGTAATCGTTCACAAACCGACCACAACGATGTCAGAACCCGGAAAATATAAATACAAAGGATCGGTAAGTTTTTTTTGCATTGCATTTTCTTCATTGTGAAATGAATTTTAATTCTATCGTATCGAATTTGTATCGTTCAGTTTCTATTTTGCCCAAACTACGAACCGGTCCACAATCGTATTCTTTCCGGCAACAGAAGTTAACTTTAGCATAAAGTTAAAGAAATGTATCTGCGGTCGTTCCCGGGGGGGTATGTTTCAATTCGAATCAATTTCATTGCTTTCATTTAATTTCATCTACTGCAATTTATGTTCATTGTTTGTTTTTCTGTTATTGTATGTATCTAGGTAGTGACCAGCAGACCCAGAAGTACTATTCTATAGTAAGCTAGTATTTTTTTTATTCTCTTCCACAGAATCGCGATTACAACTACCAAATCTCAATTTAAAGCAATTGCTGGACATTATTGTTGTTGTGGCTATTGCTTTGCAATTTTTTCATTATATGTTTCCGATTATTTTTCGATTATTCTCCGATTACTTATCGATTATTTTAAATTTTATTCTTTCCTTTTGTGATTCTCCCCTTAGGTACATGTTAAGACAAAAAAAGCTGAAGAGGATGCAAAGAAACGGTAAGTGAGAAGAGAGAAGAGCGAAAACATGTTCATTAAAAACGATATAAAAATGTGTTGATATTCAATTGCAGAAAATCCAAATGGGATCAACCAGCACCAAGTGCAGTGGCAATTCAACAAGCAAATGTTATCAAATCATCTGGTTTAATAACGACTAGCATAACTGGTACAAAAGGAACTGTAATATCTGCATTTGGTTCATTACCAAAAAAATCAAAACCATAATTTGTACTCTTCAATATCGTATCATATCTCGTTAATAAAATGAAAACCGTTTTCGTGAAATTAACATGTTATTATTATTATTATTATTATTTTTACAGAAAAATACATTCAAATGATACATCACTTATTGATATACAATGTTAAGTGCAGATGTCAATAACACAAAAATGTACTCAAAACCTACTTAAAATGGTTCCGATATTGTTTGTGTACTTAAAATGACATTTTTGCATTTCTGCACAATATTCCACCACATTTTCAAAATGAAAACAATAAATGAGATTTAAAATAAAACAAAGTTGCAATGTTACTATGAACATTTCATCATTATACTTAATGTAAATGTTAATGCATGTCAGTCAAAAATTCGTTATATTAATGAAAAGCAGCATTTAAAACGGCTATGGATGAAACAAATGTTCTGTTTCTTTTTCGAAAATTCCTTCGATGCGATGATGGTGCACGTTCAGATGTATTTTGTTGATTGTCTTACATATGACGCCCAAATTGTCTAACTAAAACATACATTGACCGCTTAAGTACAAATGTCAAGAACTTCAACACACAAAAGCACTTAAATGCTATTTTGTCCCTTTCGCACATCCATACAATCACTGGAAATCATGAGTGCACACAGTCAAAAGCATTTTTGTTTTTTTACAGATTAGTTCAACTGACAGATAAATACCACTTTTCCGAAACGAGAAAGAGAAAAAAAAGAGTGAAAATTTAGTAATGTAGTTTAGTCAACGACTTTAGAAGCGGAACAAAAATAAATAAACAACACCGAAAATATTGCTGTTCGTCGTCTGAAATTTTGTTTGAGGTTTCAAAAACAGTCAGTGCACAATATAATTTACAATTGAACTCAAGTCAAACCAAAGTATAAGGTATTGATTTGATAACAACATTTGATGAATTGTGTCTATTCTGTGCGAAATAATTTTTTTTATTTAATTTTATTGTGGCCAAAATCGTTAAAGAAATATTACGAATTTCACCTGGAAATGTGTATTGAAACCAAAAAAAAAAAAAAATATGTATACAAAAGCCGCCAAACATAAATGCAACAATATTCAATTTTGTTGTGACAATTAATTTCACGAAATGAGTTTTTCAAACCAATTCCCGATCGAATTGAATTCAACGAAAAATAAACACCTCATTCAACCAATGAACACTTAATAAAATTAAATGTTGTACATATGCATTGTAATTGGAGTAGCAAAAACCGGCTAATTGAAAACCAATTGGAATCTTCGGTTGTTTTGCACCATTTTCAATACAAAACTGAAATCCTTTTGTCAACCAAAACTTGATAATTAATCAACTAATTAATTTGAGTGATTCGCTTGTGACCAAAATAATTGCCCAATTGCCAATGTGAAATTCAATACTGGATTTATCAAAGGTAAACAAAAAAAAGTGTGGTCAAATATATCCATTTGCGTATTTTCACTCCTCCGTATTTGATTCTTGTTGGAATTATCGTTCTGAATAAATATGTACAAAGTAGTTAAAAGGAATACATGTTTTCTCTCAAAAAATTCAATCTGCATAAAATAAATTACCCGATAATAGGCGAAAAATCCAATTTTTATTGGTTCTTTTCGAAATTTCATCAAAAGTCCGATGATACTCATTGAAATCATGTTTTCGGTCTTATCAAATGACTCAACCCCATAAAATGTTCATTGTTTTGTGCAAATGAGTCGACTCCATTCATTTTGGCACATTGGCGCTAAACCAATCGACAAAGTGGCAATTGAAATCATTTCCTAAATCGTTTCACACAAACAAACAAGGGAAAAAAACCACAAATAATGACAATAGTTGTGCGTGCACATTGCATAGTGTCTCTGTGTGTATGTTCAATATAATCATGGTGTCTAATCAATTTTTGTGTGTTTTGTTTTCTTCTCCTTCTAGTGAAATAAAAGGAGAACGGTACGTGTTGAATTAGTAATACAATAAAACTAAAAATAAAATAAAAACGGAAATAGAATAAGCGTTTAACTAGAATTGAATAAAAAAAAAAACCAAAAATGGGGTGCACATCGTCTGCGGAAGAGCGTGCGGCTATAGCGCGATCGAAACTAATAGAGAAAAACCTGAAAGAAGATGGAATCCAAGCGGCCAAAGATATTAAACTATTATTATTGGGTAAGTAAATGATTTATTTTGTTATTTGTGGAGCTGATTGAGATGTCAACGTCCCATATTCGATCGCTTTAAATCAACAGTGTTTCATAAAACCACACACACACTCTCTCTCTAACTGCCCCTCAATCTATTTAATGACATAAGCATTGGCAACAAGAGTTCATTCTCTTGGCTACAATTGTATGCTTTACCGGAAAATCTTTGTTTACTTTAACAAAGCCCAGGTAACTTTAATTTATATATCTGCGCTTAACTTGGTCAAGGAGCCCTTATATCTCTGTACAACTCAAAGAACATTTAAGGTCATATCATTCAATCAACTTCAAATGGTAATTGCCTTCAAGCTCAATATGGTAAAAAGGACGGTTTTATTGTTATGACTTAGTACCAGTACATATCAGTATCGAATAGAATTTATATATGCGTCAAATTAAAATTAAGTAAAACATTGTAGCCGTCTGTCTTGATTAAATTCATGCAAAGGTAGAGAATTAATTTTTTTAATACGATATTCTCTGATAATCGAACGACTTCGTATTATGTACGCTATGCGTATATGTGTGCGTGTGTGCATTTTTAGTGCCATAAACGAGCAATAATATATTCATTGTATGACGATAAAAAATATATATATATATCTGATAAGTGCATGAAGGGTGTCGCATAACATTAGCGGGATAAAAATCAGCAATAGCAACAGAATAGCAACAATTACACTTCTTTACTGTATATGTGCAAACAATGTCGACCACACCATATAATTACTGGTGTATCGTTGCATTTAAAATGCATTGAATTTCGAGTCACACGACGAATCAATTAAATCATTGAACGAAAGTGTTAGAATCATCGTTTCCGAAGATCGCCACAGAGACTATTAGCTGTGTATAATGAATGAATCATGGAAAATGAACGACGACAAAAAAATAAATGGTATTCTAGATGGATGGGTACTCACATTCCAATCGATGTTAAATTTTTGAAGAAAAAAAACGCATTTTTTTCTCATGAGTAGGTACGAACATTTCGCAATTTTGCTTTGGAATTGTATGTAACCAATTTGTATCTCATTAAAATGTACAAAATATGTTACAATTTAAATCAATAATCAGATTTGAAAAATTCCAACCGGGTCAATTTCTGGAACAAATAGTTCAAAAAGCGAAAAAAGTCAATTCACGGGAAAGAAAATTTACCCGAAATGTGTACACAACCAATGTATATATATCATGTTAGAGAATGGAGATGCTGTACAGTGCTTAAACATGCTTTTAAAATTAAATGGTGTAAGATGTTGTATACACAATCACACCATTAAGAGGTATGCACAACTTGACGCTTTGACCGATTCAAACTTAAATGGAATTGAACATGACGAATGCATATATTGAATACATTGAGACGATGATTCATTTTAATTTGACGTAAAAGTCAAATAGCTCGAACGAACACATCAAATTAAATACATTGTTGATTGGTGGTTGGAATTATTTCAATACTTAACCCATTCAATGGACTGCGTATCTGTATGATCTTGAATCGTTTCGACAGAAAAACCGAAGCAACATCGGAAAAGTGTGCAACATCGAAAAGTATAATGTAGCCGTCAAATGTGAGAGCAAAATATTCAAATTAAATGATGTGATCCCACTTGCGATGCGATTAAAATTGAATTTTCGACGCGAATTTCCTGCCAAGTAAACAGATTGAGTGAAAACATTTTTATTAAGAATATGTCAGTTAGTTCAGAGATTGAATTGAAAGTCAGTTGTTTGCTTGTGGAAAAAAGGGCGATAGATGATTGTTGTAGGAATCTATTGAAATGGTTGAAAATGAAAAAAAAAAGCGAAAAGTTGACGATAGAATCTTGGTTGGTTGTGTATGTGTGCGACTTTCTTTCTTTGTATTTATTTTCATTTTTGTTTAAATAGCACTGTCAATCCGCGAACGAATCATGTAGTAAGGACAAAAAAAAATAAATCCAATTGAACCTGCTACGTTTCGTCGATCAATTTTCGCTTGAAAACTCAATTGATATTATTATTTTTCCATAGAACATTTATGCTCTCCTCTTTTTTACTCTGCTTACATTTGGTTATTCTCTTGCTCCAATTCATTTGGAAAATGTGAATTATGTATTTTTTCTGCTGTGTTTCGTTTTCGATCGCTTTTTTTTTCCTTGCTGTATATGTAAATAATAATACATCATTGATTTTGTGGAAGAAGAAAAGAGAAGAAAAAATTGTGATATTTCAATCGTTGAATTCTCTTGTTCTCTTACAACTGACTGAAATGATGCGCAAATGTCATAACGTAAATGATGCATATACCACACATATATGTATAGTGCAACATAAATCGAAACAAAATGAAACAGAAGCGCCCTTTTCTATCATAAATATTTATGCACAGTATTTTTTTTTTTCGTGTATTAGCTATTTAGTTAGTTCATCATTATTACCATCATCATCATTGGCAAGCCACATAACCACCTTGAATATATCATTCTAATATCACTACCTGAACAAATAACATCCTCTCGGGAAAAATGAAGTGAAAATAACGTTTCCGAAATATCGGCTGAATCGTACGGCAAGCGCATTGCCTGCTATACGCGATATGAATAACAGAGTATCAAGTGCGTTTGTGTTGCTCATAGTGAAATTGTCCAGATGTACACTACCCGACATGCGTCGAAATTCTTTTTTTTTCTTCTCTTTCATAATTCATATGGCAATTCATACATACACTGGCATCAATACAGAGAAAACAAGAGCTCTCTTTCCCTCTCTCTCTCTGTCGTGCGCACAGTGTTTGTATGCATACATTCAATATCAAATCGACTTTAAAAGTCATGCTGAGTGAGAGAGAAAGATACCTTAAAATCGTATGGCAAATTCCTTTCGGCGCGTGTGATATATATATATATATATATATGAGAATGCAACACCGTACACGGATATATACAATTGCATACAAAATATGACAGTAGATTGAATGCCTGAATAAAAGTACAACGCTGAAATCGGCTTTCAGATGAAATGTGGAATTTATGAAAATGTTTATTCTGAAATGTTTCACACATGGTTCATTTAGCAAGAAGAAATAAATAGATAGAGAAAGAGAGAGGTAGATAGAAGAAAGAAATATCAAAGCCGACGATTTTATATGATTTTACAATAGAAATGAAGTATGGTTGCTCATTTGGCCGTTTCAAGTTTGCCTCTTTTTTCTTCATCCGAAAAAGAGTGTGGCATAAGTGTGTGTATGTAACAACGGGCATATTTTCATTCTTGGCCTGATGCTTGAACATTTTATTCTGTAGCCGTAAGCGTCTGGCGCGATGAAAACAAGTAACGAACGGTTTAGCTGGACACGAGAAAAAGAGAAGAGTATTACTACTGATAAAGAACAACCGTTACTCACAATTGTCGCGCACGCTAATTCTCCCCGGTTTTATGGCGTGGTTGTTATGTTTTCTTCTGTAAAAGTCATTGTGTGTGTATGTATTTCGTATTTATAATTTTTTTTTTTATTTCATTCTATCCTGCATGACACTTTATGTTCCAATACTTATCCTCTTCTCTTTCAAACACGTCGTTGCTGTGATTCCATTCCATTCGAATATCCATTAGGTGTATTCATTGTATGTTTAGTCTCCAATATGTAATATGTATTCGTTGTGCGCGATATGCGTATGTAACTGTGTATAGATGTAAACTCTTTATTCGATGCGGCTGTATTGAACGCGCTCATTGTTGTTGATGAGCTTTAGGGCGGCTCCGTTAAAAAAAATTTTTTTATAAGTATAACTAATATATGTGTGATATACAAACGTATATCGCAATTTTTACGAAGCAAAAGAAATTCGCGGTTTAGTTTAAGTGTGATTTTGGTGAGGAAAAATGTCGATAGTTATGGTGTGTTTCAAAGGAAATTTTTTAGGAAAAATTGCATAGAATAATTGTTGTTTAAGGCTATTTTCATTTTCGTCTTCTGCGAAATGACATGAATCGAGATTAGAATATATGTGAATTTCGTTACAGATTTTTCAATTTCACGTCTCTCTGCCGATGTGTATGTGTATCTTTGTGTGTATATTGTTCAAAGTGTGGAAATTGTGCCATGGTGCACATGTGGTTGTATGTAAATATGTGCAATAATTTTTCCAAGAATTTCCATTGTACACTATAGTTTGTGTATGTATTGGCAGTTCAATTGGACTATCAAAATACTAGAAGAAGAAGAAGAAGAAAATGACGAAAAAAAAGTTTATCGAAAAATGTTCTTGCACGCATCGCAAAGCAATTGAATTGAAATTAAATATACGATAGAATCCGGTGATGGGACCACAACATACCCAATATAAATATAATATACATTTTTGTATGTGTATGCGTAGGGGAACCGTGAATGAATTGAACATCCAATCCAACACGCGCATATAAACTCTGATTCAACAAACTGAATTTATTACTGTCATACATGCATACACACGCACAAAACACACTAACACATCGTCAAATGAGAGGGCATCACATTGTTATAAAAAAAACCACCACTATCTTTACCACTACCACCACCACTACCAATGGCAACGACAACAAACGTTCTAACATCACATTGACTTGGCCAAAGCTATCGTATCAAATGCGGAGAGCGTCGCGTTCCACGCAAACAATTCGAAAAGTATTTACATCAACGATTTTTCCGCCCTTCTATTATCATACAGTTTTCTATCAGTAAATTTGTATAAAAGAACCAAAAAAATCGTTTTTTTCGCTGGAGTATTATTTTTGGTTTGAGTTGTAAATTGTATTTTTCATCGAAATTTGTTTTTCAAACAAACACGAAAATCTCGATTTCACTCCATTTCCATTGAGCACCACTTGAGTGTGGTAACACGGTGCAAACGACAGTCGCAATTGTTGCGCTAAAGATTATTTGATGATATTGGATGCATATACTGGAAAAGAGAAAACACCATACGCTACAAAATAATATCGTACGGAAATTCGTATGAAGAGAACAAGAACAAGACGAAGAGAAATCAGCAGCAGTAGCAAAAAGCAGAAGCAGCTGAAGGAGAAAAATGGATTTTTGGGTGAAAAGTGAAAACATCGCGTAGTCAAATTGTGTGCGAGAGCATTTAACAAACGTTCTGTGTGACATAAAGAGAGAGAAAATATGGCGGACTATTTGTACAAATTGTTTTTCCATTCAAAGTCTTCAGTCTGATAAATGAAATTTTTTTACAAATCAAATCGAACAACAAGTGAATTAATTTATCAAAGAATTTCAAGTTTTTCGATTTATCGAGAATAAAAGAAATCAGCTCAGTTATAGTGTGCACAGTGTTAGAAAAAAGAAAGAAAGAAATAATGAAATTGGTAGGAGAAATACGCTCGATACGAATCAACCGAATTTTGCAACGAGAATGATGTGTTCAATACAGAAAAGCTCGCATCGTTTTTCATTTCAAAATTTCCATCGTTTGAACCGAAATTTATAACAATCAATTGAATGTATGATCAATATGAGTCAGTGTAATGTGTTCAATAAAATGCCAATGGAAAAAATCCATCGAAATCTATTTGTAAAATCATAAAACAAGAGAAAAAAATGTAAATTTTTTTTTGTTCTTGTTATCAATAGATAAAGAGAGAGAGCATTAATTGTGTTCATTGTAATTTAGTGATAAAATGTTCTAGTCAAAGGGCAATAAAATACAAGAGAAAAGAGCCATAAAAAATGAACGGGAAAAAAAGCGTTTTCATCGGTAAAACCGCAGAATGAACGAATACAACGAAATGAAAGAGGAAAAAATATCTTACACGAAAAATTAATCAATTGAATATAGAACGAAAAACTGTTGTGTGAAGTGGATACATAATAGTGTGCAAGAGTGTGTGTGAATGACTGTATATATATATATATATATGTGTGTATGTATGTAGAGAGATTGCTTGTGTGTTGTCTTTTTGGTATCACACGGATAGCGTTGAGTGGCAAAAGAATACTCCCTCGGTGTGTGCGTGCAAATGTGAGTGATTTCTGATTAACATATTGCCCGTCATAGAAATTTATCGATTTTTCCGCCTTTCTGTGATACTTTCGTTACATCAAACCAAAATGTACGCCTGTTAGTGTGCATTTATATATATATATGTGTGTATATGTATGTGTGTATGTGTTTGATTCGGTTCACAAGTGTTTGTCGCCCGCAAGGAAATTTCAAGCCTACTAAGGAGGGATTGGTAGGTCAAAAGGAACATTAGGATGCTCGAATTTCTCTGGCTCTTGAAATTTTGCAAAGTCGATTAATTTGACACAGCCGGAAAATTGAAATTCATACCGTACAGTTCACATACTTGACATTCCTATAGAATATGACCAACCATTTTACCATTCACGTTTTTTTTCCCTCCAATTTCGTTTTTTTTTTCGATTTAATTCAAACCACGTCAACAACCCCAAAATTTTTGTGTCAATCAATTGTAATTTCTACATAATCACTATTCTTTGCTATCAAACGTATATATTAAATTGTCTGCCGTTCGGAAAGTTTGGTCGAAAGCGAACAAATCAACACATTCAAAGAGGGGAAAAAAGAAGTTTTTCTGCTTTTCTGGATTGATCTGGCGACAGTAATAAAATATGAATTTGATTTAGTATTGAAATTTTGAATTTGAAATGAATGCAAAAAATATTATTGAATATTAATATAAAAGGGCGAGTGTTTACACACCACACTTGTTGACAATATATATTTGATATTCAAATGATAATCACACGGGAATTTCATTTTGGTATATTAGTTAAAATCGGCTCTAATTAGGAAAATTATCATATTCACGACTATGTTGACAATCTCGAAAATGATAGAAATGCTGGCGAAAGGCAAAGCGAAACAATGAGTTTGTTTTTCACGGTGCGGTTCGTGTGCATCTATCTCTCCTTTGCCGTTTTATTCGTTCTTTTTTGTTCATACTGTCGGTTGCCGTTGTTGAATATGGTTTTAATGGAGTGTTCTCGTTTATTCAGCAATGTGTGTGTTTACTAAGGGTTGGGCACTTGCACGAACTGTATGTACGTGTTGCTTAGACAAAGTGAAAAACGAGAGACAAATTTTATTTTATTTCTCTTTTTTTAAACATATTTCATGTGACGATAACAACGAATAATACAACTAAAACACAACGTAACTGACTACAGCGACTAACGATGGAGAAAAAAACTTTTTAATTACTCTATAATAGTGAGTCTACACGTTACATTCGTTCTCATTTTATATAAATGAAACCATTCAACTCGCCCACCGAATTGTCGTTGAGGCTCATTGTCGTTCTGAGAGCAAATTCGATGATAAAAAAATGAGCTGGCTGCATTGTACAACATAGAAAAGACAGAATTTAAATTTCCACATAAATTTTGTAGTGGATTTTTTAAAAAATAATCAGACGAAAAATGTTCTCTCTTTTAAAGGAGTTTTTTTGTACACATTATGTTTTCATTTCATAGAGTGGTTTTCATTTGATTCCGTTATGTGCTCTATTATTGTGGCAAATTTATGAAATGAACGACAAAATAAAGTTGAAATTAAAATGAATCAATACAATTCCTCAACATTTACAAAAAAAAAAAAAAAAAACAAACAAACTACGTTACCTCTTAAGTACCTCCGATGCACTTCAGAATCACTAAAACTCTGCTTGATGGCATTTTACATTTTTGTCTGGCAAAAACAGTCCATTCAATTTTTTTTACCAAAGATTTTGTTTGTCACTTTCAAGAAAATCGATTCAATGTCGATGGCATTCGGTTTGGATGAATTGAAAATTTGAAAGTAATTGACTTGGTACGTTGCCATATTGATGAATTTTTCGTGTGTTTGTTTTATGTTTCAGTGATTCTATAAACTATATGGAAACATTTGTTGCTGTGAACACATTTTTTAATGTGATTAACTTAAAATATTCGATTATTTATTGTTCAGAAAATGGATTGAATGATTTGTTTCTATAACATTGAGATAATGCATTTCTTGGGAGTAAAAATGTTTGTTACGTTCGGTGGAAAAACAACGATGATCTTGTAATCATCATAGACTCATTTAGTGCGCGTTTATATTTCTCTCATTTTAGACAACCATAGAATGATTAAATTTAAAGCTGAGATGTCCAATAATGGTCATTTGATAATACAATTTTGATTGTCTGACATATTTGAACCTCGTGAAACTGTAGATTTCAACAATTGTTTCTTATTATCTTTTTCTAAAATAAAATAGATGTTTAAATCGCCAAAAGCTTGACGAGTAGGCAATCAAATGGCAAACAATCAAATGTGTAAGAAAAATGCCGTATGAAATGACATTCGGATTTAAATATTCAATCAGATTAATTCTTAATTGTTTATATTAAATCTATGATATTTTCAAATACAACAGTGATATATTGGCCGAATAAATTAGAAAAGTAAAATAGTCCAAATAAACGCTCAACGCTCTTAATTTAAGTTGGTGGTGAACTGTGAACTGTATAAAAAGAACAAAAAGTGAACTTATTCAAAAATACATATGCGTTAATAAAGAAAACGATAAAAGGAACGGATTGATCTTGAAGACACAGAGTGTTGTATGTGAAAGAGAGTCATTTGGAAAAAAGAGGGAGAGACAGTGTGAGAAATCGAAAGTCGACGAACAAATATTTAAAACAAAAAAAATTTGGAGTCCCAAAAAGAAGAAAACTCTGAACCAAAACGACTGACGAAGAGTTTGTTGCGTTATTGTTTAATTTGGGTTGATTTTTTTGGTTTATTTTCGCCTGGTATCTGTGTTCGGCCGGAATAAACGGCCGAAATTTAAAAAGTTTTCAAAACGTTTTGCGTAGAAGCGATTCGCACGATGGGCTGCGCACAGTCAGCTGAAGAGCGGGCAGCAGCAGCTCGTAGTCGTTTAATTGAACGAAATCTCAAAGAAGATGGAATTCAAGCAGCTAAAGATATTAAGTTACTGCTATTAGGTAAGTGTAATAAATGTTGATTCAGCCATAATGACATTTCGTTTTTCTGTTCATTGCATACTGATGCCCATACACACACACACGTCCATCCCATTGAATGTGTTGTGTTTGTATATAAAAACGTTTTATTCATGGACAAATGACGTAATTTGCCGCACAAATCATAACTCCATTTCAAATTTCAAACATTTCGAGGGTGAAGTAAATTAAGCAACGTACGCATTATGTATATATAGAGTAATGACGTCTTTAATCAAATCATAATTTGTATTATTTTCGAACCTATTTAATTTACATCGAACGAACGAAATTTAAACAAAATAACTAGCGTTAAATTATTACATTCAATTGTATGTGAATTACTGAATTCGCAATCGAGTCTAAGTCACAAACCAGAAATTCGATTATACACAGTTGAAAATGTATACATATTCCAGTTGAAAATTGAAAGAGACTTGTTCTATATATGAGTGTTTTTTGCCGAGCAATAAAAACAACCATTTTTTTTCGCCTGGCATTTTAACATGCATTCTATCGCTGTATGTGAGCCACACATTTTGTTTACATACTTAATCTAAAAATAATTAGCTAGACGCAATGGTTTGTTTTTTTGCGCCCATTTAATCAATTGTAAAAAAGCGATACTGTGAATTTCTTACTAAATAGCGTTCTTTCGAGAAAAAAAAGAGCAAAATTATACATCGACTAAAGCCAATACTGAAACCGTTCAGCAACAACGACCGACCGAAATGGAATAAAATTTTACAGCGAATAGACGAAGAGAATGAAATTGTTTATGTTTCATTGATACAGTTCATGTGTCGTGCAGCGTGCGTGTTGGATAGTTCAATCGGGAGAGTCGATTAATTAGACCTCTAATCGAATTGCCATGTGCACGTGTGCACGACGAACATTTCATTTTAATTGCTCTATATTATTATTTTTTTGTCGACTGCATTTGAAATTTTGTCGTCTTCGCAATAACCATCAGTCAGAGAAATAACATCTCAATTGGCCGAATCGAAATTTATTGTTATTTTCTCTATTTATTCTTCGTTGTCGTTGTTGTTGTAATCATAATTGTCACTGTTGATCACATTGCAATGACTCACAAACAGCTCACCCAGGTCATTGTTTTTTTATATAGAATCGAGCATGTAGAGAACAAGAAAATGTTTAGCAACGAATGTGAATATGATTTCCACGCCATAAAAAAAGCATTCGCAAAAGAACTGTCCAAATCATAAGCACATGAAAATTACCCAATTACTTGAACTGTTTGCTGCACAGTATCGAAACTAAAACAAGAACAAAAAGAAACAAAATATAATGGAAGGAAATACAAGTCGAAGCATAACATACTTCAAGCACTGATGTACGAACAATGTTTCACAGTATTTTATGGATACTTTTTTTCCTCGATACTGTTTTTTTTTTGTTCTCGCTGTGTAAATTTGTCGCTATACCCATGGAATACATGGCAGTTTGTGTAAATCTCATTCAAATGGGTCAAATAATAAAAATTGCTTTTTATAGTCATTTCATCTCATTTGGTCGTGCGCGCATTAGCTCTTTCTTTTACTCGTAAATCTACGAATTATACACAATAACTGTGTGTACACTTCTCTTTTTTTGTGCTTTCGCATGAATTCGATTCATACACGTTTTTTTATGCTTTTTTAACGAATGCCAGCATTTTGTCCAGGATTCATGATACAATGGCCGATATTTCTCTGGATATATGTGTATGTGTGTGAGATATCTGAAAGTGACATTGGATATGGGCGTAAAGTGTGTGCGTGTTGTATTTGCAACATAACGCTTAAACATTTGCCAAAAGCATGTCATATATTAAAACGTATCAAGGAATGGTACTTACAAATACATAACACATTGATATAGATATAAACACGCGCAAACATTCACACAAAGCGAAACACCATTGCTACACATTGACAGAAAAAGAATCGAATGAAAGCCAAGAGGATGGAGTGAGGCCGAAAGAGCAATGAAAGAAATATCGAGTTAGGAAAAAAGGATTTGATTCTCTTACATCATACGGTATAAAATTCTGTATATTATACTGTTAATGTCGCGCGGTTCGCACTGAGAGTATCAATTGTTTCTCAACAAGCCTTTTTCATCTTGTTTCCATTGTTACGCTTCAAATAGTTGAGCTTTTCTTCTGCCAATGTCTGCGTGCTGTATTCGTTTTATACATCGCAACTTCTTCATTTACAATGCTAGACCAAGAAATATTTCTAGTCAATCGTCACAGCGCAATTGACAAAAGAAAATACATTTGGATATTTCTCTCTTTTCTTTTCTTTTTTTTTTTTTGTTCAAATTTAATTCAACTTCAAAATACGTCTGCGTCGTGTTGGTTCCATTTAATTAAATGAGAATAAAACGTAATCACATTTTTTTAGGTCTCTTCAAATCTAATTTACACGCTGTGTTATCTGTTTCAATTGAAATTTGGCCATGTTTATTATGATGACCAACATTTGAACATTACATAAGTGCAAAACACCCGAAATACGAAGTAAAATAATAAATATATACGGAGAATGATAAATTATGAGAATTCTATTTAAAAAATGATAATATATCGCAGCAAAAGAGGGAGCGAGAAAGAAAATACTTAGTTTGCGGCAATATATGCATAAATGAGATTGCATTCTGACAAATGTCTTTCTCTCTATAGTTTTTTGATGTGTTCTTATACTGAATCGAATATGCTACATACTAACCCTATTAACTGAAATAACAGAGTTATCTATTGTCGTAAAATAATTCGGGAAGTTTAAAAAGCCAACATCAAAAACACCATATTTTGCATATACATGGAGTGATAAAAGTTTGTGACGGCTAGCTTTTTTTTTTGTCGTTTGGAAAATCGATAAAAATAATTTTATCATCCATTTGCCATAAAAAAAATAGAATAAAATAAAACGAAACGAACTCAAAATCGAAACTCAACAAACAAATTTATGAAAATACATTTATCTGTATTGCAATGGCCAATTTTAAAATATCAAGAATGAATTTTCTTGAAGTTTGTTTTTGGTTCCATTTCAACTTTCGTTATTTTTCTGAAAAAAAAAAAAAAAAAAAAAAACTTTTCCCAAATGCGGTGTCAATTTCGTTTGTTTTTGTAGTTTTGATGAAATAAAATATTTAAATGAGCTGTTTGATGCATTTTTCGATCGATATGGGACAAAATGGAGCTCATGCCTACTATTAAACGAGTCTATTTTGCAATTTTAATGTAAGTGAATCTAATTTTCAAATGTTTGTTGTTTGACTCACAGGTGCAGGTGAATCCGGCAAAAGTACAATCGTTAAGCAAATGAAGTAAGTTTATGCAAATCGTTTTATTCTAGTCTACCATATTTCTTATTCTTTTATTTTTTTGTGATATTTCAATCGATTTGATTCCATTTTATTTGTTAAATCGTTTATGCTCTGTAATTCTAACATGAATGGCATGTGAATTACATAAAATTTTCAATAGAATACCATTTATTTTTCTAATACATACTCACACAAATCGTGTTTGTGTGTGCGGTTTCATTCATTTATTTTCTCTCGTTATTTTTAGAATTATTCACGAAAGTGGCTTCACATCTGAAGACTTTAAACAATATCGACCCGTGGTTTATAGCAACACAATACAATCACTAGTTGCAATTTTAAGAGCCATGCCTAATCTAAGTATTCAATACGGCAACAATGAAAGAGAGGTAAGTTATCGTTGCTGTCGTCGTCGTCGCGAAATTCATCGTGATGATAGCAAGGATGAGAGTGTTAATTGTTTATAGTGGTGGTATTCAAACCCCATGGGGGTGGGGGGTTGTCGAAGGAAACGTAATTCAATAGAGTGAGCCGTGGAATGAGAGCGGTAAATGCTTTTACCAGCGACGATCCAACAAAAAAAAGACTTTACAGCTGAATGATATCGCTTAGCGTGCGGTTTTCTTTACCTACCATGTTTTTTTTTCGTCGTCTTTCGTGCGACAGCACAATGTTATAATGAGGTGGTATTTTTATTCAAACCGCACAATTAAATGTACAATGTTGTAGCCAAGATTTATACGCGCCACATAAGCACCCATAAATGGGTGTTCACAAGGAGATTATTCCCGTCATTCGCATTCACAATTCGTTACAATGGCACAGACTAAGAATGAATTCAATCATAGCTTTCTTTATTCTCGTAAACTTTTTTTTTGGCGAACGAACAAAAAAAAAACAGATTTGCATTCATATTTTGGAATCTCTTATTTCATTCATCATTTGTCTCGCAGCATTTTTGCACCGAATGTATTTTACAGGCATATTTAAACAAGTCCGTACACGTAACAACACAACGATCATTCTCACATTTTTCAAACAAAAAAGAGACGCGAAGGAGCTCAACCTGAATTTAATATGTATGCTTTTGGGGTAATGACAACGCAACATTTTAACTTATTTTCCAAATTTTTCCGCATTCCAGTGTTAATGAGCATTGTGCTATGGTTGGCATTTCCTAGGCCCGTAACAATAACGAAATCAGCATAATTTGTTGAAAAAAACTTTGATGGTTTGGTCTGGATCGATGCGAAACGAAACAGGATATTGCGTTAAATTCACGAATTGTATGCTAAACTGAAATTATGTACACTGTGCACGTACAACGGCAGGCTTCGGGCTATCCGTGTTCACACTATGCTTTTATTTCTCTCTGCTTCATTTTTTCGTTCGTCTCTTGCAAATTGCACTGTGAATGTTAGAAGGATGTAAACGATGCGGAGAATGTGTGTGAAAAATATATGAAAATTTATGCGCATAACCTTTGACACCAGCAGATTCTCCAGAGTAATGCGGGCCATTTTGCAATTATTAGTATAACCTAAGTCTAGTCTAACATTCTTGTTTGCTGCATATTTATCTGTCTATGTCCTATTTTCTGTACACTGGAGAATAGCGGCTCGTAAATATAGCTCTCATATTGTTGTCGCCTTTTTTTTTTCTCTTTTGGATCGTTGTTGATGAACATTGCTAATTTCTGACCATTTCGCTATTCCCATCATCATACCGATATACATTTTACAACTGCACTCAGTCACCAGATGATAATTTACATTTGTTCTTTCTCTTTTTTCACCCGATCGGTTCTTTCGGATTCGTATTGTACACATACAGAGCGATGCTAAAATGGTATTTGATGTATGTCAGCGAATGCATGACACAGAACCATTTTCCGAGGATCTACTTGCGGCAATGAAACGACTGTGGCAGGATTCTGGTGTTCAAGAATGCTTCTCACGAAGCAACGAATATCAACTTAATGATTCCGCAAAATAGTGAGTATTCATGTTTTATGTTGTTCAATTTTTATTTTATTCTCTGTCGTTCTTGTTTTTACAATTTTTTTCGTTGTACATCAAATATATAATACAATGCAATATACAAATACAAATAAGTTGTAATTCGAATAAACCTATGCGGTATGAAATTAATTTTTTAAGCAAATATTTAAACAAATTGGTAAATTGTTTTATTAATTAATAGTTAATGTTTGTGGTTGGTATGGTTTTGCGGCCATATAAATCCGGCGCTTACTCCAAAATAATAATTCAAAATGGATTGAATTTTGCTCTTTAACTCGCAGCTTTTATGCTGTTTGATCTGATTTTTAATTTAAACACATATAGATTATTTATTATTTTTAAATTACAGATTCTGGTAATTCATGTAATCACTGTTCTATCCAATCGATATCATTTAATTTATGAAAAGACTGTTTGATAGGAAATTGGTCATATATAATTTGGCTCGAAAATAAAAAGCATTCGAAATCAGACAATATATTGAACTAACTATTGTTTCATATTCATTTAGCTGGCTAACGTACTGTCAGCTCAGTTGACCAGTTAATTCAATATATTGTCTGTTCGAAATAGATAACGTGATTTATTATTTAATTGGCTTCAGTTTGACATTTTGGTGATTAAATATTGACAAATTGTTGCGCCAAATTACAGCAGACACACAAACTCTCTCACACACACCGGGAAATGTTTGGTGCGCCCATTATTCATTTTTGCATAGTTTGATGGATACAAATAACAACACTAAAAAAAACATATTTAGAGCATTTGGCCACAATGGATTGAAGCAATTGGTGCACACTGTGGTCGCTTCAATTTTGTCGTTCAGTCAATTTAAATTTTAATGGTTGTTCCGGAATGTATGTTGGATTCACTTTGTATGTGAGTTTACCGTAATTGTATTCAATTTTGTATTTTCGGAAGAACTGTAAAATAATATGAAAAAAAAAAGAAAATATAAGCAAAATACAAAAACGGGAGAGAGAAAAAATATTAGTGAGTTAGTATACACAAAAAACACACACAATCTCGCTCTCTATAAATTACCTTTGCGACCAAAATATGCAATTCATTTTCAGCGAATCGACGACCAATGCACATGCGACGCCCATATCCAAACGGTAGACTAACAAATGGATGAATTTTTTGACCAGCATGTGGGCAACCTGACACATCACCTACAGATTTTATAACATTTCATTAGCAAATGAGTATCTGATCTCTCTGTCTCTCTGCCTTTCTGTCGCCCTCGCTCACCCTATCTATCTATAATGATGCTTGCCAATAATTCTAATACTTACTCAATTCGCCTCGTTTAATCCATCTTTCCGGTAAAAAGCGTTCTGGTTCTGGGAAATATTCATTCGAATTCGACACAGCTAAATGTGGAAAGATGACATGTGTCTGTCCATGCACCATGAAAAAAAGCGAGAGAAAAAAAGTGAGATCAAATGAATAATGTGGGATTTATTCGACTAATTGAGATATCGAAACAAAATAAATAAATGATATTTACCCCTTTTGGTACATGATAACCAGCGATGACTGCATCCGACTGTAGATTTCGTCCGTTTCCAATGACAACGGGGTACAATCTGATAAGATAAAATATAATTAGAGTATTTGCCTAGGCACATTTAGTTATTTGTGATATACCTCAGTGTTTCTTTAATGCAAGCACGTAAAAATGGCATTTGTTCCAATGTTTTCGTATCTACAGGTGCTCGTACGTCCGGCATTATTGATTTTAGCTCTTTGTAAAGTATTTCTTGTTTGTCGGGATTCTGACTTAGTTGATAAATGGTTGATGTGGCTGCTACTGAAGTCTACTCACACAACAGTGACATGTAAAAGCCAAAACGTTGAACGAAGAAAGTAATAAAAAAAAGAAATAAAAATAAATAAGACAAATTCATCTGCATGAGATTCGCAGTGGTTTTATATATGTAATGATAATGTTACCGAATGCGCTTACCGTATCAACACCAACTAAAAATAAGTCTAAAGCTAAGACAGCGGCTATCTTTGGATTTCCGGTTTTTTGCATAATACGCTCAATAATTGACAGATTCTCCTCCTCTTTGACTGTTTTGCTATTGTTCATGTTTTCAATTGCAATGTTAATGTGCTTCATGCAGAGTCTATAATGGTGTGAGTTGAATTTTTATTAAAAGAAAATTGTGTCATGAGATGGATAAAATAAAACGATCGTATATTGAGTGTGCTACTTACTCAGTAAAACTATCTAAAGCTCCGATGTAGTTTTTGTAGGCTTTGGTTTCGTAAAATCGCCAAACTGGCATCCGTAGCTCGACTTCAGCAACTGTCCAGAAAAATGTATTGATTGCGTCGATAATACGTTTTGATTCTTCGTTACCCTCTTTGCTAACACATCCGAGACGAGTATCAAGCGCTACACGACCCACCGCTAAATTGGAAAAATTTAGTTAAACGAAAAAAAAAAAACGTTTTGTCAGCTCGCAATTTTTTCCTAATTTTCCATTGTTGTAATCGTTTTTGTGTGCTATTTATTGAAAGAAAATGAACACTCACATTCTAACGCCCACTTGTATAATTCACTCAAGAAGTTTCCAGGCAATTCATTATTTTCGTCACGCATCTCGTGTACCCTGGGTAAAATAAGTTGAAATGATTTTTTTTTTTTTTAATTCTCTTAATTCGAAATCGATCGATTTCAATTAAAGCCCATTTGTATGTGGGGATGAACAGAAGAAAAACAAGAATGACAAAAAAAACAATCGACAGTATACGCGAATGAATCGGTGGCATGTCATTACGTATTCGGTTTTATGTCGTACATGTGTGAAAATGTGAATAAAAATTCAAATACCTATCCATGAAATCGTTGGCAATTTCATTAAGTGGCATAATATATTTGCGAGCTGTTGATGGTTGCAGCATCACATGTTGAACTTGTGCACGGAAATTATCCCATTTTTCGCCATGCCTACAATTTTTAAAGCACGATTTTTTATTTCGTTAAATCGAAAGCACTCAATCAATCTAATTGTTTTGCGGCACAATGTAAATGATTGTTGTTCACAAATACTTACACTCCAATCAAACCAGCGTCATCACCAAAGAAATCCTTTCGCAGCTTCGATTTATAATGATGTAACGATGGCATTGACGGTCTGTATACATTTTATGTTATATATGTTTTTTCAATTAAAGCAAATGAGAGAGAAAAAAAGCATTAACAAATTGTACATCATATGTGAAGAAAAAAACAAGTGATTAAAAGTATTCGATGGCCTCGAACTCACCTGTGTGGTAATGTTTCTTCTTTTTTGAAAATGTTTCGAATTTCATCGCCATCAAATACGAACAATAAATCCGGATGTCCGATGAGGCCACCAACTTTTGCGATTTTTCCATACTGTTTGTTCAACGAATACATGACTTTGTCCAAATCTTGAATACGATATTGACCTACGTATTTGACAAATAAGACACACACATATACAATTATTGTCATTGATTATTTAAGGTTCTCGAACAATCTTCATATATTTTTCTATTGTATTGCTTCAATTATTGGCGGATTCCATTCAAACTGAAATTCGAAAACATTTCAACAATTTGGTGGCGTTGATGTTGTGAAAACGCAATCATACTGCTCAATTATAATGACAACATTCAACAAATTTCAGAAATATTAATAAAAAAAATCCACATCCATCCATAAATATGTGAGTTAAGAATTGAAGATAGAATCGATTTTGAACTTAACACTTGAATATATTAACTTTAGAAAAGAATTCCTTAATTCTATTTGTTAAAGAGACCCAAGGCCATTCTAGCTTAACAGCAAATTGACAACGTGTCAATTCTATCATCGCATCTATTCAAATGAGTAAATATTTTGTTGTTGGTGGTGCCAAATAAATTCTTAAAAAGATCAATAAATTAAATGGATGTTTAAGTATTTAAGTGTACGTGATGCGTTTAGATTTGAAGCTTGCTTGCTCAGTGACAACTCGTTCCAGAATTATGTAAGAGATGTGAGAGCAGAAAATATTGAACCTTATATTCACATTGAACTGGTTTTTTTTAACAACTATTACCCTCTCTTTCCATATCTCTCTCACTCTTTTTCTCTCTCTTCACTTAATGAATAATGTAAATTAAGTGTCGACTGATTTTACTTCAATTTGTCGAACTTTTTTTTATATGTCTTCAGAAATAAGTGTAGCCCGTTATTTTGGGTTTCCGTTAAAATTGCTTTGTAAAAATAAAAACCGGTTGATTTGCGTATCGAAAAGAAAATTCGTTCGACAATTATAAATTAAATGTCTGGTATTTAGGAAAAATGCCATTTTATGATCGCTAAAATAAAATATTAAAATTTCTTACCGATTAGTGGTGCAAAACGCCATGAATTTCCGATGAGCGGCAGTCCTTTTGGTCCGGGAACCTCCGAATATGGTCGAATTTGTGCATTTTTCGGTGAATCATGTTCGGCGACTATTTCCGATGCCACTTCATTCGGAAAAATGTTAATTGCCGATGAAAATGCTGTACGTTTTACAAGTGAATTGGCTGCTGTCCGGGTGCCCATTCTCAACGTTATTCTTTAATTCACACTTCTGCATATACACACACGCGCACAAATTTCTCTTCTTAATTGGTACCGCCTATGTTCAAGATGATAAAAAAAAAATTATTCGTATAAAAACACGCATTCAGCGATTTATAAATAGATCATTGAATTTTGTATGGAAATAACAATGCAATGCAATGAAATAATGTCAGGAACCGGTTTTCAGCGTAATGTTAACATTGAGTGGGCTTCGCAACATTGTGCAAGTTCATGTAAACAAAAAAAAATGAAAATTTTCTCTTTCTCTCTCTTTGTTTCTCTGTGTGTTTTTTGTCTTTCACCCATATTACATGAACCACATTCTTCGAGCATTCGCGACATGTATTCTGTATGGCACTATATGCTTACCACATTGTCATATTATGAAGGTCAACTTACGTTAGCGAGAAAGTGAATGAAATGGAAAAGAAGAATGATAAAATATCAACAAAACGACAACAACACCACCAAAACAGCAGCCAGAACAAAAATGAAACTGAGCTTGGCACATTACACATTGTGTACAATTTTCCCCAATATTTTGAAAGGTAATTTGATTGATGAGCACGACATTTGGCTGGTGTATGTGGTATGTACAATATTGCCAAGAAATTCTTATTATGAACAAACACTTCCGCAAACATAAAACTAGAGAGAAATGTGAATTGTCCGCTTTTATTTTTTTTGGACAATATTTCCAAAGCGAGAGTATGACCTTGAAAATTGCAAATATACACAATTTACGAACGTTGGAAATTTAATATAGAAAAAAAATTGGATAGTGAATGATTGAAAAAATATTCGTCCAATGATTCGCAATCGTGCACCTAATCTACTTTTATCTGAATTATGTATCGTTTGCGATAGATAGTATTTCGATTTTTTATATGCGTCTGTTTGTCGTATTCGTAAATTTACTATGAATGAAAATAGCAATATCGTATTTATTTATGTATTTCTTTTTTTTTTTTTATTCAAGAGTATTAGAGCTTGATTTGCATACTTTTACATTGAAGAGAAAGAATGAAAGAGAAAATAGAAAAAGTGAGAAACCGTAACCGGTGGATGCGCGTGGTCGCAACGGTGTGGTTTATGCAGTAGCCGAGACATTGAAAATGTATATACATAGTGGAGAATGAATGAAGACGGTGAATTTTGCAATGAACACCGAATGCACGAATTCGATCAAACTGATACGTTCAATCACATCGGATATGAATGACAAATTTGTTTGGAAGATGATTTGTTGCGGCGATAATAATAAACAACACATTTCATTGGTGAAAATGGTTACAAATCAATGTTCGCCAACATATAGTACGGTATATTTAATATACCGGATTGAAGAGCATGCCATTTTATTGATTTCAAATCGCTTTTGATACCAAAAAGCACATTTTTATGTAAGAAATTGAATAATAAAATCGGAACAGGCGTTGGACTTTCGTTTTCTTTTTTACTCTTAAAATTCAAGTTCATCGAAATATCGTCTGGATTATTTTTGTACCGTTTTTTTTCTTCGCTTTTTGTGTATTACTAAACTTGACGCATTTCACCTTGAACTAGGAATTATAAAGTAGCTTTTTTTTATTGTATTGATATTGTTTTATCATTCAAATACAAAAATGTTATGTGAGATGAGAAGAAGAAAGAAAATCTTGGCAAAGCCTTCAAATTTGATAATGAACTGCTTCACATGCGTTGCGCCATTCAATTGAACATTCAATGAATTATTCAGAAAAATGTGCAAATCATGCACTTCGGAAAATGAAAAGCCGGTTTTAAATTATATTTGGTTTGTTGTAGTGTGTGTATGTGGTTGTTTTCTTTTGTGCATTTCAATTGCGTTCTTGAAGATGAACAAAGAATGGATTATAAAATTATAAGCGTAAATACAACCGGTTCATTTCCTTTCACACTTACTTGATTAACACTTTCTTGTTAAAGACTCTTCATGCAAAATGACAATATATTCTTATTACATTCAGCTGGTTCGGCTTCAAGGCCAATCAATGCCTTTATTTAAACCTGATTTTCAAGTGAATATCATCATTGAACAAAACGATTTAAACAAGTGTATTCAATACAATGTAACAAGTGAAGATGGCACCATTTCCAAAAGTGAAGACATTGGCGAACACCAATTTTTATGCGTAAATTCACTGATTTGTACTTGGAAAAGATTTGTTTCTTTTGCAATTGTATTAGCACGTTTACGCTGTTTACATAAACATCTCAATTATACAAAATATACAATAACGAAATTCACATGTTTAAGGTGTGGATGCTGAGAGTTAAGATTTACAACAAAAAAAACGCACGCACGCAAATGTATATGTACGTAAATGTATATTTTATGATTTTTCATTATTGTGAAAGAAAATATTTGACACTCTAAGTGATGTGAATATGGCTATAAAATCGAAATCTTTCGTTGATGCTGTTTCTAATATATCTCTTGTGAATGTGAAACAAACCGAAGAGATCGTATTGATTGTAAACGACGAAAAGTCATTTGAATTGACCCATAGCAACTAAAAACAAGTTAAACTAGTAAATGGCTTTTACAGCTAAGAATGCACAATCTCATCGCATCGGTGTATGAACTGAATTCGATATTGAGTACTCGTTTACTTGAAACACAGATGCGCTACTGTTATTATCTAATCAGTTGATGTAATACGAGCATAGTTAAGATTTTTGGATTTTGTTTTTTATGGATGAATGATGATAAGCAGGAAATTATAAGTAGAGAGATCAAATGACGTGATATCGATAGCGCTTGTTTTTCATTAGTTTGATTATTAGCTCTTGTTTATCTTTTTATTCGATCCTTTATTATACAAACAACTGTATGGACAATGAATTAATATCGTGACCGGAATCGGAGTGAAAATTATTTGTCAATTCGCTTATAGTTTTTGTTTACGCTCCTTCGAATTGTGGGGCGACACTGTTGCCATTATTGTTTTCAAAAATGTTTCACTTTTACCTCAGTAGACAACAACAACAAAAACCCCACAAATATCAAATGTGAAAAAAGTTTTTTGATGAAACAATCAAAATAACAGAGGAATACTATTGCAACGAATTATTGTACCATGACTTTGAAACACCAATTGTAACAATCAACTAAAACTCAACCATTCGCTCGATTGTTTTGAATGTTTGATGGCAAATGGCTTAATGTGCCTATTTCTGTCCTTGTCTCGAGAGCAAAAAAAAATGACTATTGCTGGTTACTGCAGTAGATAGTCGACAAACAGAAAACTAAAAATGGCCGTAACGCAATCGAATTGCGAAGCATTGTGTCTTTTTCTGTTGTTTGGCAAAGAGCACTTAAAGCAATTGTTATAATGTCCATATTTAGACGACTGCATTTTCCACTTTGGTTTGTTGACCATTCGAATCGAACAATTTCAACACGACCATTTATTTTTCCAAACACAATATTTTAAATGTAGCCATAGCAGATGCTGTGACATTTTCGACAAAACCGATCACACACCGAATTTCAATCATCAAAGACAAGTCAACCATCCACGATATTACACAAATTTGAAAATCGTAAGCGTTTGATTTTTTTCGAGTAAAATGCAAGCGAAATGAATGACAATTTTAGAAATCAAATGAAAATTAAATGACACAAATGGAAAATAACTGCATTCACGAATATGCGCACAAACGCGCACACACACACACTTGGTTGGTTCGTCTTTTATACACGCCTGTTGCACACAATCGTTCAATTTTGCTCGTAAAAAAAGCTTTGTTTTCACTTGTCAAGAGATGAAAAAAAAATATATATATATTATAAACTCTGTCGCTTTACTTCTTTCATTTCAATGTGCACTAGTTTAACTTGTTTAATTTGAAGAAAAATATGTGAACAAATTGCACTACGAATTGCAATTGAATCAACACATTGACCACGACACCACACAGATTTAAAAACCACCGCCAGATAGCCATGGATTGAATTTGAATCGGTGCTGAAAACACCGTATTTCAAGTTTAATTATTCCATTCAAGATTTGTTGTTGCATATATTTTTTTCTCTTCATCATTTCGGTGTCAAATGTTAGCGATTCACATGGTTTTTTTTAAACACATATAGCATACATTCAACATTCCAATGCGTGACTTTAAAAAAAGCTGTTAGAAAAAAAATAGTATCACATGCACACTGGCTATGGAAAATAAATCACTTGCAGTGCATGCAAACTGTCGATACAACCAACAGAGTGCACCTTTTATGCGCATAACAGAGCCAAACACCTGAGGTCGACATTGTCAAACAAGATCAAAAACTGAGAAACAAAACAGCAAAAACGAATTGCAATCTCACATTGAGAGATCTATCAAACTCTAAAATACTAACCACAATTGAACTGGTAGAGCAACGAGCGCATAAACACAAAACGAAATAAAGAAAAAAAAACTGTATTCGCGCAACTAGTCAGGTAAAGAATAGATGTGCGTTTTTTGTTTGTTTGTAACTTCTTGTCTATACACGGTATGCGAACAACGCGATCTACGAAAACCGACTAAACAGCGAAAAATAAATTTGAGTAAATTTATACCCCGCCAAAGCAAGACGAAAAACAAAATAACAAACTATAAAGAGTGCCAACTTCAATATTTCATTTATATATATGTTGAGTGTACTCGGTGCGTTCTCTTAGGTTCGCTTTTTATTTCGTATTTTCGTTTTTTTTTCTTCCTTTGAATTTGTTTCACGTCTGTGGTCCCATGCGCGCTATGGATGTAACGTAAGAAAAATACATTTTCAATCAAACAACTTTGCCATTTCCCATCGTACTCGGCAACTCAATCCATTGAGTGCAGAAATAACCAGCAAACACACGCATACATACTTGCATGCTGTATGTCTTTTGCTCTCTGTGTCTGTCGATTTGAAATCGATTGTTATAGAAAACAAACTCCCATACATTTTCAAATTATTAGTTATGTTCCATAATACGCACACACAATCGTCGATTTTTCGTTCATTTACGATCATTTCAAGCAAAACAATTTTTCAACATACACAAAACTATTTGTACAACTAGTAAAGTTTGTTTAATGTTAAAATCTATACCATCATGAGTTTAACACACATATAGTTAGATCCACTTACATACACAAATGACGAAAATACACATGATTTGTGTTTGGGTGAGTGTGTGTATGTGTGTGTGTGTGAGAGAGTATTTCGGCCGTCTGCTCGGAAGTATAGTCGATCTGTCCAAATACAAAGTTCCTCATTAAAAAAATGCTGGGCAGATGGAACCGAGCCAACGGCAGTTCGCTTTCCATTTCATTCCATAGCACATTGTAAATCATTTTAAAATGAACCATGTGACACATTCTGGAACAAATTGCCAAAAATTACATAAATATATAGATTATTTCATAAAGCATACCAAATTCCATGCAACACATTTTCAGTATCAGAACAAAAGTGCGAATGCAAGCGCGCGCTCACGCTATCGAGCGCATGGAGCACACATTGCACATAAAACTGCAAGTAAGCAGCAAAATGGTTGTGGGAAAAAGCCATTAGACAAACTAATGACACTCGTTGACTTTGTCTATCTTGTTGTGTGTATTATTGTGGTTATAAAATGCAGTAGAGTTGGCGCGCAGGGCCCAACAACAAGTGAAAGTAATTGCTGAAGAAATTGGTACAAAAAAAACACACTTCTTCAGTTCACTTCGGTTTTCAAGCGTTGTTGTTTTCTTTAGTTAGTTCATTCGTTTGTTTGTGACGTCGTGTGTGCATCATTATCTCACTCTATCGCATTTATACATGGTGCTTTCTCGGTACATTTTGATGATCGTGCTCGAGCGCGCACATCACATCACACACGCCCGGCCATCATGACTAAGTGTATTCTATGATGTGATGTACGGCATTTGTGTATATTTCTTATTTCCATTTTAATTCAATATAAAAGTCGTACATATTACGCATCACCAGCCTGAAATGTATGTATTTTATTCTCTGTTGACTTGCGACTGTGGCCAAAACTGAAAATTTGAACTTAACATTACAAGAAAAGCAGATTGATGTATAATGTGAACTACTTTGATCGGTATGGCATGCACAGCGTGTGCGTCTGGACTGGGGTCTGGCTTATTGTCACAAGTGAAATGAGACAGCCTCAAGTGTTTTCATAACTTTTCTCTTTCTCAACATACATCGGCACTCAAGCAAATACAAGCGAACAAGAAACGACATGATGAGCGACATTAAAAAAAAAACATAATGCGCTTGTGCGAATGAAAACGCGCACGAGCACACAACCGATACCAACCCAAATAAAAATAACAGCAAAACGTGAAAAAAAGCGCAAATAAAAATGAAAATATAGCTTAAATATCAAAAAAGAAGCGCACATCAAGATTTAAAGTGCGATATACGCAATTTTACAATAAACACCAACAAAAAATGGAGAAGATGAAAATTGTATGAACAACGAAAAAGAAAAGAAAAAAAAATCAGTTATGAAAATAAGAAGCAAAAATGAACACAAAAAAAGATTCGAAAAAAATAACTCATCCAACAAACATGAAGAAGAAGCAATAAGAAATCTCAACAGCCTACAGCACAATGTATTTATTTGCTAAGCAGTTGTATGTCGCACAGCATTTCATCGCGTGCACATTGAATGTATGCAGTTGATTTCATCGTTAAATCATGTATCACATTTGGTAAAATATTTGAGCATCGCAATGTCGGGGCTGTGCAAGTGGCCGGTGACAGCAGCAGCAGCAGCACAAATCATCCAAAAAAATTTGAATGAAAATGAAGTTTTTTATAGAATGTGTAAGAAATCTCATGTGCTTGAATGCATATATTACATACATTACAAAGATATTGCAAACGTAGCGAACTGAGAGAAGTGTGCACTTGGAGAATGTCGAAATCTTGCTGAAGAAATTTATCTTACTTATTATGTCAACTATGGGTTATGCCGCTCATGATTCTGATCAGGTGGCGGGCGCTCTTAAGCATTGTAGCATCTCAAGTGAAGGCGATATGAATAAAAAGAGAAAGAGAGAATGAAACGGGTAAACAAAGTGAGTTAAACTCACTGTCATTGCATGTTTATTTGCTCAGTTCATGACATATAAACCTACTCTTTGATTATCCATTGGATTGCAATGCAACAATGCAAACGAAGACATTGGATTCGTACATCACTTTTTGCCTTCAACTTAATTTCAATCTATACACTTCGATGCAATTCGAATCGGTTTTTATACCTTTTGTTTGCGCAAAGATATTTAAATTTTTTGTGTTTTTTCGTCATTGTTGTTGTTGTTGTATCGATGAACACAAAAAGCGTGCACATGTTCGCTCATTCAGGGTGTATATCTTTTGTACAAACACAAAACAAAATGTACATATATGTGATAAAAGACGATTGCATTAATGTAGACATGGCCGATAATTGTGATGATATGCCATAAGTTGTATTAAATGGATGCCACATTCTCTGTCATTTATGCGAAATGGGTAGCGTTTATGTGTGTTTCTTAATTTTGCATTCTATTACTAAAAATGCACGATTCATGCACAATCCATCCATTTGATGATCTAACAAATGTGGTGTTTATTAAATTGTAAATTGTATTCGATTTGCCATTCGGTGTGATGCAATTTCTCTGCCATAAAATCTAATATCGTATTCAAAAATGTTAACAAATGTTCGAGTTGCATAGTCGTGTTCGCTTTCATGCAAAAAAAAATGTTTGTGATTGTTCTTATCGAATTTGTAGCCAAGTTGCGCATTGAAAAATTGACGAGACATTATTCATTCGTGGCACATATATAGGTAAAGTGCATTAAATGACAATAAAATGTGCACTCCTAATCTTTCATTGGTGTGACAAGTGAATGTTATTTGCTATTCGTCGATGCTGCAGCATGTGTGCTGTTGATGATTTGACTTGGTGTTTTTCTATCATCTTCCGTTGTAATAAAATGCCATCAAGTTATTTGAAGCATAGTAAATGATCGAAAGCAAATCCACCACGATTCGATGTACAACAAAATAAAAGAATAATCGAAACAATAACATATGATAAATGCGAACGAAAAATCGCATGATTTTCGAATATATTTATTTTTTACATTGTCACCTTTAAGCCAATAATTCACTTGTTTGTTTCACATTCGATTATGTAATGTGCCTTGTGTGTGATTTTTCAATGAAGCAACGCAAAGAAATGAGAAGAAAAAGAAATGATCGCCGCACAGAAAGCATGCATAGTCAATTGAAATGATGAAGAAGAGTACGACACATTACTCAGGCGAATGGGTGTTTGTGTGACACAAGCTCAACAGACCCACTGTCACTAATCGAATTTGATTTACAATTATTGTCATTCGACGATGTCGTTTTTTACTCTCTTCTTTGCGCGACCAACCAGAAATTACGCCCGCCATCATAATTGATGCTGCACAGTTTCGCACCAATTCTCTCTGTCTTTCGTGTCTCCATCTTCAATGCGATCGATCGACCACATCAAATGATGTAATTGGCATTCAATACCCATGAGAAATTTTCTAAATTTATTACAGTTTTTTTTGTGTTTGTGTATCAATTGATATTAGTCGTATAGAATATTCACTGGAATTCTTTTTTTTTCTTCTCCCGCATCATATTGTCACCCAATGCAAATAAAATCGTGTGTACATTTCGAATGTTTGTGTATTCTGCACATTTTCATGCTAAAATTGGCTATTTATTTGTGCTTTAATAAATATTTATGGCAAACCATACTCGTTACATACATATACACGAAATCGATGTGATTTCTTTTATCATTGAACACCTTCAGCATGATTTTCAATGTCATTAGCAAATGGACGCGTCTGAATAGAAGAGAAGAAAAAAATAACAGCATTATTGTTACTGTTTGTGGCCAAAAAAATTTGAAGACGAAACCGAAATTGGTAAACGACAAACCAGAGAAAGAGAGACAGAGAAAAAAGCGGCTATTATATAACATTGTATTTGAATAAGTGCTTGAAGCACTTCTCTTCTCTACAAACATTGTCGGTAATGACGTCGTTGACGATGACGATCCCGAATGCGTCTGTGGGAACAAAACTATTTGCTTTTTGTTCGCGCACTTTGCTGTCAGGAAATTCAATTATCCAAACATTGGAAATGGAATTCACACATTTTGAATCATCGCCAATTTTTCCATACGGTTTTCCAGCACATTTTCCATTCCGTCACACAAAGTGACGAAAAAAGAGAGAGAGAAAGGGAGCCAAAAATGTAACTTGCGCACAACATTGCTGAAAAATTCGTTTTTCCTCAATTTATTAACGCTTGATAAATATATGAATGCGTTTCGGTGAAGAGATAAGAGGTTAAGCAGTTTCCGATATACCAATTGGCCAATATTATAATTGATAATTTTAGCCACCATTGCCACCAATAACATCCATGCGTATTGAAATAGAGAATGGTCATTTCTTATGAATTTGAAAACGATTTTATCGTCAGCTCTTTATTTGTTCAAT